GACCAGCATTACCCTGATACCAAAACCAGACAAAGACCCCACAAGAAAATTGTAGACTAATATCCCTTGTGAATATAAATGAAAAAAATTCTCAACAAATACTAGCAAACATATTATAGTAGTAGTATATAAACAGAAATAGACAGCAAAAATAACCATATCCTGGGTATTTGTAAATGTGATCATCCTGCCACCACCATGTCTCCACCCCCTGGCCCTGATCCCCTAGTGATAATTCAAAAGGAAAAACTTACACTATGCCTATATACAGTTTACAGAGCCACCTTAAGGGGAAAATGTGGATGAAGACATAACAGAAAAATAAAAACACAAAAAAGAATACCTGGTGCCCCTAAAAATCCGGGATTTCCTGGATATCCTTTCCGACCAGGTGGTCCCATCTCACCTGGATGACCGGGCATTCCTGGTAGTCCAGGTTCCCCAGGAAATCCTGACCTATCCAAGCCAGGAATCCCTGGGTCTCCCTTCAGCCCTGTTTTGCCTCTTCTGCCTATATATATATAAACACATGATTGAATTAATGAATGAATAAATAAATTAACTCACAAATGCTTTTCCCCACTGACTCCAGAAATACTTTATGGCTGTAAATATTTAGTTGTGTGATTTAGGGTAAATTGCACATTTACGTGTGTGTGTGTGTGTGTGTGTGTGTGTGTGTGTGTGTGTGTGTGTGTTATTGTCCCCCACCTGTAAAACTTCTGACTCTATCATACTGTTTCAATGATTCATGCAGTAATAAATTATCTATATTTATAAATATATCTATTCCCGAGTCATACGGGACATTCTGGTATTGCACTTTTTGACTGTCTCTCAGTCCTTAACCTGCAGAAGACACATAGAGCCCCTCACATGGAATTAAGCAGCTGGATGCCTCTGGAAACAATAAGAGTGCCTTTATAACAATTAAGATCTAGGCCAAAAATTTATTTGTGAACATATAAGCAGGATGATAGACCACAGACATTAACTGAGAATTTTTCCCAAAGACATTTCATCAGATCTGACTGAGATGATCCAAAAAGATAGAGGAAGTTATCCATTGTCTGAAACATCTAGCTTACATCATCAGATTTATTTTGATACTATTTCTGTTGTTTCTTGTAAAGCAGTCAACCACATATTTTATTTTATAACTTGTTAAACTGGTACCTTTGCATACATTTACTCTATTTTAATGATAATAAATTTGCCACTTTAACATACTTATAGAAGTATTAAAGGAAAAACATTGATAGTTCACGTGTATACGAATATATATGTAAATATTCATCCATCTATCGTCTATCTATCTATCATCTGTCTTCTATTTTCATATTTGCTATAAAAGATACAAACCAACACACTATACTAACTTCAGGTTACTTTCTTTGTGGGTATACACACTGCTATGTGTAACAAATCCATGACAGCAAGGTTTACATTTCTGAAATAACATTTCTTATTGAACAGTGGTCAAGCCTTGTTGCTGGACAGTTCCCATGTCAAGCAGCAAAGTACAGAGCAGGAGTTCCTACGTCACCTGCCCATTTGGGGACTGGTTTCAAGGCTCTCCTCCTACCTTGTTGCCCTTTGAGTCCATTTAAGCCTGGAAGTCCTTGGGCTCCCCTGGGCCCCTCTATGCACTTTCCTGGAGGTCCTTTATCTCCAGGTGGTCCAGGCTGCCCTGGATCGCCTGCACAAAAAAGTCCAAGATCATATTCAGGTGCCAAAACTTAAGGTCCTGGTATTGCTGTACCAGTCATTCTTCTGTAACTTTTCCCCCCTAAATCATAACTCTATGGAATTCCATTTCTATGCCTTTTGTAGATGGTACTCATGAAAAAGGAAAGAATGAAGGAAGATAAAAAAGGAAGAAAAGTAGGGCAGGAACATGGAATGGGAAAATAATTAGACCTGGTGGTTTCTATTCACTGAACTGAAAGCTTTTTTTTAAAATTTAAATTATATTTAATTTTAAAATTTTTATTATAAAGGTGGGGTACAATTCAGGGTTAGGTATACAAACATTGATTATGCAGGTACCCTTGTTGATGAGGTATGCCCCTCCCTCCCCTAGCAGTTTCCCTCAACTGCCAATTCCCAGCCTCCTTCCCCAGACAGTTTCCCACTACTGCCAATCCCTTTCTTATAGTATTATAATTTAACTAGAAGCTTTATTTGAGAAGAATTCTTCACCCCTAGAGCACTTGTGGATTTAGCTTGCTGCATGTTAGCCAAGATCACAGTGAAAAAAGTAATCACACTTGCTATTGTACCTCGTGGCCCATCAAGCCCTTCATTTCCTGGAATTCCAGAGAGACCTGGAAGTCCAGGGAGTCCAATTTCTCCATGTTCCCCAGGATTCCCTCTTTCTCCTGGAAAACCTGGTGTTCCTGGTTCTCCAGGCATGGATAGTGCTGGTTCTCCCTATGCACAGAAATTATGTTAGTTTTGCTACGTAATGCTTCCAAATCCTCCCTGATATTGACTGATCTCTGCTATGGAGGCTCTAAGTCCCTGTGCACAGCCACCACCATTCCATCAACTACCCTTTTTCAACTCTAGTTGCTGACTTCTCTATAAAATAATGCTTCGGGATATGTAGCCTCCACTTTTCCAGAAGACTGTAGAATTGTCTATAAACAAAAACCTAGATGTCTTTACTTTTGATAGATTTTTCTGACAGTTACTCACATTCCTTGCTAGGGTTCTCCCATTTTAGATACTCAGAGTGTTTATGAAGCCATTAAAGAAGAAACAGAGATGCAGACCCACCTTGTAATACCTTCTATTTTCCTTTCTAAAAAGGAGGATAGTCCTGAGAAACTTTAAAACAATATTTAATATCTTCATCATCCATGAATGTATTGGGTAATTTCTACACCCAAAGAGGCCTGCCTGGTGGGGACATTCTAACTGGACTATTGTGGTCGCCCTTCTCCCCTATGACAGTGTGAGTTTAAACTCTTGCTGACCTTGGCTCCTGGGCGGCCTGGCTCCCCTGGTAACCCAGGCTCTCCCATTTTTCCAGGACAACCCAGTAATCCTTTTGTTCCTGGCAAACCTTGGTCTCCTACAAAGAAAAAAAAAAAACATTGTAGGATTAGTCTTACTGAAAGATTCTAAGCAGAAACTCTCTTACATCTCAACAGCTAGAGGTTATTTTAATGAAATTTGAGTGATGAGAAAACTATTTGATAAATTAGCAATGAAGGACAATATCAGTTCCCAGTCAGATGACATTGGTTCCCAATTTTAAAAAATGACTTTTTCCATTTTTGTTATTTAGCATGCCTATAAGTTTGATTCAGCAGTTCTTCAAACCACTGATGCTGGCGGATCATTTGACTTTGTTTTTGAAGTATTTTTTCCATACAGTGTGCTGCTAAATGAATTTTTAAAATATATATATTCATCTAAACACAACCCCAGATGAGATATACAGCTTCTTCAGCACCCAAGGTAGACTTTCTAAACAGGGATTGCCCAAAAGAATTAAGTCCTAATGCCCTATAGCATCCATTGTGGATTAACTTCTTATGCAATTATAGTAGGAGAATTGAGAAAGGAGTCTCACACACCATCTTCTATGTTGTGGTTTAGAAGAAGAAAGTCTGTTGAAGCAAGGCTGCCTTCAGAGAGTTCCTTCATGCCCATAACTTGACCAATGTTTAATTCATGGTTAGCTGATGGGATTCATAGGTTAAACTGTGAAACTGTAAATCTCCACTTTTAAGAAGCACTAGAGTTAGTTTTGGTTCCCATCATCTACAGTCTTCTTTCAGAGAGTGAATACTTAAAGTTACACAGCTAGGATGAAATTTATTAATGCAGACTCTAAGATTAACTAGGTAAAAATATGAGCCAGGCCTCATTACTTCACAGATCATTAGGAAGACATCCAAGAAACTGGATTCAATATCATTCTTGAGAACACACGAGAAATGTGATTGCTTTCCATTTCAATATTCATAAATTGAAATAAATAGTCCCATATTCAGGAAGAATTCATGTATAATAAACATTGATACCATATTAATGTTTTGGGAAATGAAGCACCCACAAATGCATTATCTTTAGAAATTTTAAATAATATTGAAACAAACATGAAATTATCATAAAACCTCCAGTTCTCTGTGACAACCCAGAGATTGAGGCTATTCATACGTCATCCTGCATACGACTCTCATATACTCATCAGTGGAAGGCCTCAGGCCATTGTTGGAACTCTTAGCATCTAAATTTTTGTGAGAGTATTTACCCTTTGAGGGGAAACAACATTTTTTCCTAAAGAAAAATAACTTTTGGAATTTACTATGAGGAAATCAACTACTTGTGATTTAATAGTTTCTTATTAAAAAATAAACGTATAAAATAAAGTGTATACATGTAAAAAGTGCAGACATTTATTAAGAAGTAACAAGAAATACTTATAATTCCACAATCAAAAAGAATCGCTATTGTCATTTTGGAGAAATTCCTTTGAGTTGTTTTCTATGCATTTTTAACAATACAGTTGGGATAAAATTGCATAAATTAATGTGAATTCTGCCTTTTCACCTAACATTATTGTAAGATGTTTCCCTATTAAAGACTCTTGAAAAACATCATTTTAAAAGATATGTTGCTATTTTAATCACTTTATGTCATATAGTCTATTTATATTTTTATATCTAATTTGTTTTATTTATTCATACTTATATCTTCTAAACAACCACAATAAACCTTATGTTTCAAAACTTTTAAATTTACCCTTAGGTCCAGGAGGCCCAGGAAATCCAATTCCTGAAATTCCTGGTTTACCATCAGGTCCAGAAAGACCAGGATCACACTTTCCAATGGATCCAGGGATACCTTAAAAACACATACACACACATCTCCACATCAGAAACTTTCCCTCATCTTGCTTTCAAAGAAAATTTCTAAGTTTCTCTGTCATCCTATCCCTTTTTGGAAATCAAGAAAAAAATTTAACATAACCCCAACTGTATACCATTTCCCCCCCCCACCCCATCCAATGGAGTAATCGGGGAATTTTTAAAAATATAATGTAATTCCTAAACTAAAATAGTTTAAACATCTTAAACTATATAAGTCTTCCCCCATGCATGCAAAATTATGTTTTAGATCACATTGAGAAAGAAATTAAGTTTTCAAATGAAGTTGCTACGGAAAATATCCTGATTAATTGCAAGTGGGCAAATATTACTTACGCCCCCCAAAACTCCATGAAGATTATTCTGCTCTAGAATTGCTCTTAAGTAATTGTATCAGTTCTCCTTTGGAATATTTATAACAGAAGCACCAGAGAGAAACATCTGAATAACCTCAGAGAACTACAGCAAGTCCCCTGTCTGCTTGCTTGTTACCTGACAGGGCTCTGCCCTGTGCTTTCTTTTGGAGCCAATGAATATATTTTTTGCTTATAATGAGGGCAGTATTTTTCTAGGAGAGTCAGGGTGCTGTCTGATGGCATGTACCAGAATTGGCAAAGGGGATACTCACCAGGTGGACCTTGGGGGCCAGCATGACCAGGGGGCCCTGGAGGTCCTGGGGGGCCTGGAATTGGTGTTGAAACACTGAATTCTCCCCTAGGACCTTAAGGAAATTTATGATCATAAGATTGGAGCATAGACTGAAGCTTTTCATGGATTATAGGGGAAAATATAAGGTGTTTATAAACATATCCCAAAGAATATAAAAAATAGTCTCTACTTTCTCAGGCTTCAAAGCTAGCTTGGGATGACCAGTTGACATATACTTTCTTATTCAATCAACAAATATTTATAAGCATTTACTATTGTGTAAGCCTCATTTTAATTAATAGCCAATATGCTTGTCTATTGAAAAAGAGCCTAGTCCAAAAAAACTGATAATATGAAATTAAATTTAAACATTGATAAATACTTACAGTATATTTACTTGTTGGGTGAATAGTTTTCATGGGAAGATAGCATGGTATACTGACCAAAACAGTAAGATGTGATGTGGGTATGACTGATGTGGATTTGACTTTTGGCTCTCCTACAAGATCTGTGAGCTTGGACACTTTTCTTAACCTCTCTGATAAGCTCCTCATCTGCCATGAGGGAAATAATGCTTACCTAGCACGTAAGAATTTCAGATAATATTCGGATCACAGTGGCTAATATGAAAAACATGTTTAGTGATGTGCTGTTCATATAGTCATTTATTTATAGAAAAAATAGATTTAAATGGTGTGATAAAAAATTTGATAATATATTTTATGACAATGGAATTCTTCACTAAAGAGTCACATTTGAAAATAGCAGAAAAGGCCGGCTCAGTGGCTCAGCTTGTAATCCCAGCACTTTGGGAGGCCGAGGCCAGTGGATTGGCTGAGACCACAGGTTCAAGACCAGTCCTGGCACATTGGCAAGACCTCGTCTCTGCAATAAATAAAAAATTAGCCGGGTGTGGTAGTGTGCACCTGTAGTTCCAGCTACTTGGAAGACTGAGGCGGAAGGATCGCCAGAGCCCAGCAGGTTGACGCTGGGGAGGCACTGAATGTGCCACTGCACTACAGCCTGGGTGACAGAGGGAGACTCCGACTCAAAAAAACAAAACAAAACAAAACAAAAACAGAAAATAACAGAAAAGTGTTTGACGACTGATTAGAACAGGGGTCAATAAACTTTTGCTGCAAAGGGCCAGATAGCTAAGTAACTTAGGCTTTGTGGTCCAGATATACTCAACTACTCAATTCTGCATCGTAGTATGAAAGCAGCTAGAGAGAATACACAAATAAATGAGTGTGACTGGATCCAGTAAACTTTCTTCATGGACACTTTAATTTGAATTTCCTATGATCTTCATGTATCAAAAATATTAAAATTTCTCTCAACCATTTAAAAATGTAAAAACCACTCTTAGCTGGGGACCATACCAAAACAAGTGTAGACTAGATTTGGATTGTGGGACACTCTAGTTTGCTAGTCCATGGATTAGAAAAGCAGCCTCCAAGGTAAGGTGCAGACAAAAATCAATCAATCAATCAATCAATAGCTTATATAGAGAGAGAGTCATAAAATAAATTTACATACATGTGTGGACAGAAATGCTACATACAATTTATAATATGGGGATGTGCCCTCAAAACTTTGTGCTCATGAAGGAGACACTTTAGCAAATGATTTGGAGACCACGAGTTTATTGGGTCTCACCCTTCAAAGTGATTTTAGAAGTAAAAAATGACCTTGGTGGCATTCTTTGTTTAAAACTGTCTGTAGTATGCTAGTCTCATCTCTGTCATACTCTTAGCCATGGATAAACATTAAGGGCTTGATCCCTGCTGAATCCAGGACTATGTTTAGTATATGTGGACCCCTCAAATGACCTGGAGTTAAAAACTGTGATCAGACAACTTTTCTTCATTTATCTTAGCTATTTTAAAGTTTTATTTATAACCTGTGTATTGAGTTACGGATCAAAAAGAACAAATTTGCAATAATGCTGGTGGGCCCTTGGGGCCTGGAAGAGGCTTTTCAAGATCAGTTTCATAGGGTTTTGTCTCCTCTTTGTTTATCATAATCAACTTCCATCATCCCTTAGGATCCATTTTTTCTATATATTTATATCAGTAATAGATACAGACTCTCCTGGGAAATTGCAGTTGAGTTGGCCAGTAATGGGGAAAACATGGATTTTTTTCTGACATATCCTATTTTATACATTCCTTCCCAGTGTCTATGAGCTGACATATTCTATTTGTTAGAAGCAAGTTTCTATGTTTCCATTAGTCTTGAAGGAGCTTCCTTAGCTCTAGAAACTATCAACCCGCTCCATAGGAAAACAGGACTGGAAAGAAAACTAACCAACCGGCTTCTCCAGGTGGTCCAGGGTCTCCAGGAACTCCTTGGGTGCCCTTTGGACCAGGCTCTCCCTGGGGTCCATAGCCAGGTGGTCCAGCTGGTCCTGCAGGTCCTGGGGACCCAGGGCAGCCCGGATCCCCTGGAGGACCCTGGTCCCCCTTCTCACCACTCAGGGCCTGTGACAATAGGAACGTGTTTGGATCTTGCTTCATTCCAGTATCTTCTTGCAACAGGCTTATTGTACCCCAAATATGAACACCAGTTAGGTTGTCAGCGAGATCTTGAATTAAAAAGCAGTTGGCACTTGATGGGAATTATTACTAAATAAGAGCACTATAGGTCTCTGCTGTTTTGTGCTCTTTGAATTTAGCAACATTTTATGAACTTGGAAGTGTCTGGAGTTCCACTTGCACTATCCCACAACGACATATCACCCACATAGTAATAGCCACTAAGTCTAAATTCAAATTGACCAACAGTTTAAATGACTTTAGAGATGATATTAATGGTAACGGCACATTTCTAAATTAAAACCAGTCCAGCAAACCATTATTTCTGTGGTTTTCACCAGGGATTTTTATTACAATGGAGATATTCCACCTGCATTAATTATCTCTCATAAAATGTCTACCCTATTTTTTAAAATGTCACACACTATAAATTTGAAAAATGATATGTATTTTTTTTTTTTTTGAGTTGGGGTCTCACTCTGTCACCCAGGCTGGAGTGCAGTGGCATGTTCACGGTCACCGCAGTCTCGACCTGCTGGGCTCAGACGATCCTTCTGCCTCAGCCTTCCAAGTAGCTGAGACTACAGGTGTGTGCTACCACACCGGCTTATTATTATTATTATTTGATTTATTGTGGAGACGAGGCCTCACCAAGTTGTCCAGGTTGGTCTCGAACCCCTGGACTCAGGCAATTTTCTCACCTCAGCCTCCCAAAGTGCTGGGATTACAGGCTTGAGCCACCATGCCCAGCCTGCGATGTATATTTTATTTTATTTTATTTTGAGAAAGCAGGATTTATTGAGAGAACAGAAAAGCTCCAGCAGTGGAAGGGGACCTGAAGGGTTTGCCCTGATATGTATATTTTGAAGAAGTTGAGTTTGACAAAGTAATTGAAGCCCCCTCCCTTCTCAACATGGCCCTCCCAAAGTAAATTTGACTAGAATTTTAATTATTCAATATCATCAGGTGACTCCTTTTTTAAAAAAGATAATAATAATAGGGTGGAAAACTGAACAAATCATCTCTTTGATTTTGACTCATTTATCTTCTAGAGCATCTTATCTGAACTAATAAGGAAAAATTAGTGAGATGCAAATGAGGGTATCTATTAATAGTAGACCAACAGAATTCTAGCATTGTCATTTTATAAGCATAACTACCACAGAATGAGCAGTCTGGGAGTTTGCCAAAGTCGGGTCTGAGATATGCTGGTCTTGTAGACACTACCAGCCAAAAAGTTAGAAGGGTTTGGGGGAGACTGTATGCCTTATTTACATGTTGGAAAGTTACAATTCCTATTCTGATATTAAAGCGTATGAATCTTTAAATTTATGTACCAAGTTTCCCCAAACCTGTTAGAGGTGGGCCCTTTTTATTGGATAACACAGATTAACCCTGGGAGAAACTGATATTTCATAGAATAGTTGGGGAGCATGCAAACTTCTCACAGATGCATTATGATAAGGGGGGTTCAACCCCTTACTTTATGACATTCAAAAATAGATCCTAGTAGGTATTACCTCTCAATTAAACATGTGAGAAATTCTGTCTCATGAAAAGAGATAAAATTTATATAAACAAATATTTTAAATGACAAAACATCCCATCTCTTTATTTGACTTTCATTCCCCTAAATATCTGTGTGGTTTTACCTACACAAATGCATTTTTAATGCATTTATTTTTCCTTAAAAGAACAGACACTGCCCCAAAAGTATTTACTACAATTTTCCACTATTTGTCACTTTTTGGACTTCTCCATAAATTAATTTGATACAAATCTGAAATTGTAACCTATGTATGAGACAGGTTCAGTATCAGTGTAGAATTTTAATTGGGATAAATCATTGAAGGCTACCTATTTATTTCATCAAAACACTATAAATATTTGCTTGGATTATTATGCTAATTTGAAGATGCCTCATTCTACAATTGAGTGATGAACTGTGCAGAGTTTCGGAGCATTTCATTCATAGAAAGGGTAACTTGAAAAAAGTTGCCAAATACCAACCGGTTCGCCTTTAGGTCCTGGTAATCCTTTCCCTCCAGGAGTTCCAGGAATTCCATCCAAGCCCTTTCTCCCAGGTAGCCCTCTGAGCCCCGGATCCCCTGGGGCACCCACGTGCCCCTCAGGCTGAAATTTTTCACCTCGTTCTCCTTTGAGTCCTGGAGCACCCTGAGCACCTGGGAATCCCTAGGGTAGTACAGAAATGAGTCTGAATTGCTGTCCTTGTGTCAGTCTTAAAAACAGCATCAACAAGAACTTTTCAAATTTAATGAACATGACTTTTTTTTAAAGATATTTTCTTTGGACCCCATATATTTTTTCAAGTATTTTATCTGTTTTGCATTGTTCTTACTGCTTCCAAAATTGGAAAATAATTCAGTTAGACAGTACAATACACACAATAACATATTTTATTAATATAGAACAATCATAATTTAGATTATGTTTTAGTATTGGTGAATTTTAACAAGCGTCTCTGAATAATTTGACTTAAGTATATTTATCTATACATAACTTTCTGATTCACTATAATGAATATTTTCATTTTTAGCAGCTTTATTAAGACATAAATTACACACCATACAATTTATCCTTTGTAAAAGTACAATTCAATAATTTTTAGTAAATTTATAGAATTATGTTATAATCACCACAATCAGTATTATAACATTTCATCACATCCCAAAATTTCCTCAAATTCATTTGCAGTTAATCTCTGTTTTTACTCTCACTCCCAGGCAACCACTGATCTACTTCCTGTCTCTGATATCACTTAAAATAATTTATAAATTCATTAATTTATTCACTTAATCATTTGCACATCAACACAACATTCATTTACTAATTTCATCAACAAGTATCTATTAAGCACCTATTGTCTGCCAGGCACCAAACTGAATACATAAGTGTGGTACAACCATATTTCCAGAGTGTGCAGTTTTTAAAATTGAAACTAATACTTTAAAACTATGAAATCTTACTTACTGGAAATCCTGGAAACCCTACATTTCCTGGGGACCCTGGGCTTCCTTTCTCACCAGCGGTACCTTGTCCTCCTGCAAAGCAATGAATTATTAACTAGTTATTGAACACCAATGCTGAGTAGGGAGGGTGATGCAATGTATAAAGAAAATAGAATATTTTCTTATGAAGAAAGAAAGAACATTTCTATTGTAAAACTTACAATGCAATAAAAGAAAGGGAGCAAATAACTGGAATAAGAGATAATGTAAAAAATAACTCTTGGCTGAACTCAGTGGCTCAGCCTGTAATCCCAGCACTTTGGGAGGTCGAGGTAAATGAATTGCCTGAGGCTTTGGGTTCAAAACCAGCCTGGACAACTTGGTGAGACATTGTCTCTACAATAAATAACAAAATTTGCTGGGCGTGGTAGTGTGCACCTGTAGTTCTGGCTACTTGGAAGGCTGAGATGGAAGGATCGCCAGAGCCTAGCAGGTTGACAATGGGGTGGCCGTGAGCATGCCATGGCACTCTAGCCTGGGCAATGGAGTAAGACTGCACATCAATCAATTAATCAATCAATCAGTAACTCTTAGATCTTTGCTTCTTCAAATTCTCCCTTTTACCATTTAAGAATATATGTTTATTTTGTTCTGAGCACATTTTATTTCTAAAAGTAATATATGCTTACTATAAAAAAATTATACCAAAAGAGAAGACTAAAAAATCATCTGTAAATGAAGACAATGTTTGCTAAATTTTAATGTACATTAGTAATACATTTTTATATCCATAAATTCATAGGAGTGATACACACATTATTTTGGAATCATACTATACATATATTAATAAGTATGGACTTATAGCTTTACTCTAAATGGCTGCATAGTGGCCTACTGCATGGTGAGCTATCATTTATTTAGCTAACTGCTGTCTTTAGACATTTAGACATTGGTAGACATTTTTCAACTGTTAGCTGCTGTAAAGAATGCTATGATAAATATCTCTGGTTGTTTAGTTCTCCAAATTTATCCAGTTATTTCCTTTGTAATATATTCTTAAAAGTATAACTGTAGGACCAAATGGGCACAGACTTTTCTGAGGCTTTGATATGTCTTGCAAAGTTGCATTTTACTATAGAATTTTATATTTCCCATAGGTATTCCCTTTAGACAATCTTTTGGATGGGTCTCAGGTCAATTAGCCAACATATGTTTATTCAGATTCTATTTTTTGCAAGATATTAAGCCAGGATATATTTTGCATAGTAATCCAAACTATTCTACTACTTACATATCTTATTTGAGCTATACCTGGGTAGGCCAAATGTGGAGAAACTAAGGAAAATAGAACTAGCATTCTGTAGCAGTGAGCTGCTCACCTGCCCACCTTGGGCCAAAGGTGAGATTAAAGGGGAGTGCAGGAAAATAATAATTTCTTATATTTTATTATTTTCTCCTCCCTCCCCCCCTCCTTTTTTTTCTTTTAGTTTTTGTTTAATGAAACATTTCCCCCAGGGTCCTGGGCACTGAATAGGAGCTGCATGAGAAACAGTTTCCACCTCCCTGCTTTCTGTCCATCGCAGACCTGTGAGTCAGGGCAGTGGCAGAGATTAAAAGGCCATTATAAAGGAGAAGAGGGGGGACAAATGCCTGTCCTCCATTGGCTATATCCATGGTGCCCACAGCTGCCACCATTAACTTTTATTCTTTGGACTGAAGCACAACCTTTCGGCAAACCTTGTGCCAACGCAAATATCTACCAGACAGTGATAATATTCCCCATTCAGGTTGCCAGGTAGACCTCTGAAGAGCAGAAGAGATAGGTTATAACACAGCGATCAAGGGATGCCAGTATGGAGGGCAGGAACATGTATCTGAATGCCCAGATTTGAGTCCAGGCTCTGCCACTTATTAACTATGCCACCTTATTGCTTCAGTTTCCACATCTGTCAAATGGAGTTAATGACAGCACTTACTTCTGGGAATGAAGTAAGAAATAAAGGAACCAAGGCACACAAAACACTTAGAACAGAGTCCGGCACACTGGCCAGGGCTCTGTAACTTCCGTTCATATTGGTTAATGATAAAAACTCAATGATGACATGTGAAGACCAAGGTACTGATGACGGAGCCATCAAGACTGTGTGTGGTGCACAGGAGAGTCCCTGGGTAGCCAGAGCAGTGACACAAGGGGAAGAGGATCCCAATCAATAAATAGAGATTTTGTGTACTTCAAAGTTTTGCCCATGGCTGGTCCTGTGACTAAGAAAGGGGAGGTAGACAAGCAGAAGTGGTGACAGCCAGGAGCAAGAGTGCCGGGGTGGAGAGTCCTGGTCTGGCAAAGAGTTCTCAAGAGAAGGCCAAGTCATGCTTTATTTAGTTCTCAGAACATTAGCTACAATTCCCCCCCCCCTCAAAAATTGACTTAAAGTCAGGTGTAGTGGCGCACACCAATAATTCCGACACTTTGGGCCAAGGCGAGAGGATCGCTTGAGCTTAGGAGTTCAAGACAAGCCTAGGCAACATAGTGAGATCTCATCTCTACAAAAAATAAAAACATTAGCCAGGCGTGGTGGCATGTGCCTATGGTGTCAGCTACTCAAGAGACTGAGGAGGAAGGATCACCTGAGTCTATAAAGTCAAGGCTGCAGTGAGCTGTGATCGTGCCACTTCACTCCAGCCTAGGTGACAGAGTGAGACCTGGACTCAAAAAAATTTTTTTGACTTAGTGGCTAATTTTTTTAAATACATAAGATTTCAGATAAAAAGTCTTATTTTTTTCTTCTCATTAGAAGTTGGAAGATTTATTAACTCAGGGATAACATGCTGCAGAGTAACAACAGACTGGAGCTGAGTGCTTGCTGACCCATTCAAATATGCCCTCAGTTTACCACACTCCTCACAGCTCTCTATAGTCTCTAGTACTGAGGACATTACCATCTTATATTGCACTCATATCCTTAAGAAGAAAATAAAGCACTGCATATTCTCATGACTATATTAAGAGTGGGAGCATGAAAAAAAAACTGAGAAGAGTCATATCTTTTGAGAAAAAAGGGGAGAATTTATTTCTTTATGGTTAAAAAAAAGGTGGTATGTGCTTTGTACAGCTGCTTCACTGATTTTACTTACCGTTGGTTTCCTGTAGGAATCCATGTTGACCTTTCCTGGCTAACACTATACCTTGCTGGAGTTCAGCAAGTAACATGGAACAGGGAAAAATACCAGTTTTATTAGATTTTTGACTGACTTTATGTTAACAATGTATGTTTTTGAAACATTCCCTCTAGATTCATATAAACCACATCATGACATACAGAAATCTAATATCTTGAAAGAAAAAAAAAAACTTCCAGGCTGTAGACCTATTTGTGCTTGCAAAAACACTTGCATGCAAATTATCTGTACCTGGAATTCCTTTGATGCCATCTAACCCTGGCAATCCTGGGAGACCGGGAGGCCCTGGGATATAAGGACACTGTGTGCACGGGAAGCCTGGTTCTCCTGCAATAAGAGTACACTTGCATTACTTATAGAAAGCACAGTTATTTTCCTACCACACATCGTTTATTACATTTAAACATTTTTTATATAGTGAAAATCATCTAGCATACTTGTACACATTAATCTTAAAAATTCATTTATTATGTCTACTTACCTTATTGTTCTGAGCGCTACAGTTCTGAAAAATGAAATTCCAAAAGTCTAACATAAAATGTCTACTTAAGTGTTTCTCTCCTTGCATAGGCTAAAACCCACATTCTAGGAATATCCAGCAACATATTGCATGGGTGCTAAGTAAATGATTGATTTACAAATAAATGAATACTTTTAGTTTATTTATTTATTTCTTTTGGAAAAGAAGCCATCTCTGACTGGCTGCTATTTGGGATCATTGTTGTCTCAGGGAAAAAGAAAAATCAGTAACAGAACAACACTATGGACTGAACTGACCTTTGGGCCCGTCAAATCCTGGGACTCCTGGAGGCCCTATATAGCCTGGCAGTCCATCATCTCCAGGTGGACCCTTGCGAAAAATGATGTCACCTATAAAAACACAACACCAATGACAATTTTTTCAATGTAGCAAGTGTTTTAATATATATATTATTTTAAATGCATCTCTCTCATCTTTGTATTAGAAGCTGAGTCTTTAGAAGTTTATCTGCAACTGAGAAGACTGATGCATATTGATCAACTCTTCCCTTCACATTACATATAATGTGCTATTTTTGTTACTGAGGTAGTTGATTTGAAACCATTTGTCACATAATCAACCCATGTTATCTTATTCAGTTATTTCCAGTTATTCCAAGGCCATCCCGCTAGCATCTTGAGGCAAAGGATTAAATCTTATTCTTCTGGGTATTTGGGGATACACTGTATTTTCTTGATATACTATAGATGCTTAATACCTATTGAGTGAAACAATGGGTTGTGAGTCAGGGGATCATCTGTTTTCTCCTCATTGCTTATCCACATCAATTGAGTTTGTCATTCCTAAAGCAACTCTCAAGAAAGTTGTTCTCAGTCTTCTGCATTATTTCCTACTATAATATTACAATGAATAACCAATTCTCTTAAACTGGTAAATTGTATTCTGTGACCTAATTTTTGGTCTTGTCATTTTAAATATAAGTCGGAGGCCATGCTGATAAAACTAAGTATTTATAAACAATACCTAAAGCTGCCCCAAATTTCAGAGCAACATTGACTTTGTCATTGAAAAATTGAAGATACTAAACCTACATCTCAAAAGAGACTTGGAAGGCTAGAAATTGTTAAAATCTCTGACCTGTAGAAAAAAGTTTTAGTTTGGTTTTTCTTTGCCTTGTTTTCCACATTGGCCCATGACATAGCTTAACAGATTTGTTCCTGCCTCCTTCCTGCTCTGCTGTCTGGGGCATTCCAACTAAGACTTTGTTGCATTTGGAAAGTAGTTATTTTGCCAGTTTCTTTCCCAAAGAGTGGGGGTAATGAAATGCCATTGGAAAGAACTTGTAAAAATCCCACAGATTGTCAGCCACACTGTGAGTAAGGCTTATTGCTCCTGATGTACACACATCTATCACTGGGCATTGTATACAAAAGGGTCCCATTACTCATCTTTACCTGGTGGTCCTGGAGGTCCTGGCAATCCTGTGGGTCCTGGTGAACCAGGACAACCTGGGGACCCAGGAGGCCCCATGGTATTCTGTCCTGGGGGTCCTTGTTCTCCTTTACTTCCTTTCAAGCCTGGCCATCCAGGGGCTCCTCTGAGTCCAGGCTTTGATGGTCCTTGGAGAAAAGAATCATTTCTTGTATTTTTTTTCCTGATAAATATTTATTTATTTTTAAATTGCAAAAAGTTGATATGTACAATGGAGGGGTACATAAAGCATAGAAAATAAAAAGTGAGCCAGGTTCAGTGGCTCAGCCTGTAATCCCACACCTTTGGGAGGCTGAGGTGAGTGGATTGCCTGAGCCCGCAGGTTCGAGACCCACCTGGGCAGCGAGACCTCATCTCTACAATAAATCAAAAAATCAGCCAGGCGTGTACAGCGTATGCCTGTAATTCCGGCTACTCAGAAGACTGAGGCGGAAGGATCGCTGGAGCCCAGCAGGTCGAGGCTGCATTGGCTGGGAGCAGCCATGCACTCCAGTCTGGGCGACTGAGTAAGACTCCACCTCAAAAAAATAAATAAATAAATAAAATAAATAAATAAAAAATAAATTATAGAAAAAAACAAGTGAATATCCTTGCTTCTTTCATCTGTGGCTTTATATAACAATCACAGTGCAACAAAGCACAGAACACTCCATTCCCACATGGTAATTTATGTAGCTTATTACCAGAAACAGAAACAGGGTTTGAGATATACTACAGTCTTTTATTTAAAAAAAAAAAAAAAAAGGATTCATGAGGAATTCTTTCATATATGCTACTTTGTAGATTTTTTAAAAAATTAGCGACTAGAAGTTGCCTACATTTCAGTGCCCCAAAGTAGAAAGAAAGTTGTAATTGGACTTTAATTCTGCTGATGTTTTAAGTATAAAAGGGCATGGTGGGGAGGCAGGCATCTCCTGAGAGAGGAGCCATGCCCGGTGGTACAAAACCCACCCTAACCCTAAAATGGTGAGGATGAGAGGAGGGGGCTATCTCAAGTCTCTCACAAACAGTTTAACTACTAAGCAGAAAGATGCCACCATCAAAGGGCCAGGAAAACAGCAGGGTGATATCAAATTATGTCTTATTATTTGAACATAAAGGCAAATTCTTCTGTTTGATGTCTGTTTCAGAGTTTTGTAACTTTTATTTTATTTTGGCACATTATATTTGTACATATTGGTGGGGTACATGCAAATGTTGTTACCTACATAGAATGTGTAACGATTAAGTCAGAAAATTTAGGGTATCAATCATCCGACTAACATTTCTATGCATTGGGTACATTTAAAGTTTTTTCTTCAAGTTATTTAAAAAGATACAATACACTGTTGTTAACTATAGTCACCCAACTTTGCTATCAAATATTAGAATTTAATCCTTCTATCTAAAACTGTATGCTTGTACTCATTAACCTGTATTTCTTCACCCCCAACTCTACCAAAAGACTTTCAGAACTAATAAAAAAATTCAATAAAGTTGCAAGATACAAAATCAATATAAACCATAATGAAATAGCCAAAAAAGAAATCAAGAAGGCAATTCCATTGATAATAGTCACATACACAAAAATACCAAAGAACAAATATAGCCAACAAGGTGAAACATTCTACAAGGAAAACTATAAAACACTGATGAAAGAAACTGAAGACAAAACAAATGGAAAGACATCCCATGTTCATCTACTGGAAGAATGAATACTGTTAAAATCACCATACTACCCAAAGCAATCTACAAATTTAATGTAATCCCCATCAAAATACCACGTTACTTTTCACAGAAGTACAAAAAATAAAAGTGAAAAATCTTGAAATTCTTATAAAACCAGAGCTTTGTAATTTTCTACTTGCTGGTTTCTTAAAGAATCCTATTTATTACTTAGGGGCCTGGCAGAGGGAGTAGAAGGTCTTCCTTAATGTTTTCCCAGAGCTCTAAAATATAATTTTTCTCCAATCCAACTTCAAGAGATATACACTGTTAACAGTTGATGTATATTTGGTCACGCATATCATGCATATATAGGTACACATAATATCTATCCATTTTTTTTTTTTTGAGTCGGAGCCTTACTCTGTTGCCCAGGCTGGAGTGCAGTGGCATGCTCACAGTCACCACAGCATTGACCTGCTGGGCTCAGGTGATCCTTCCACCTCAACCTTCCAAGTAGTTGGAAGTACAAGAATGTACCACAATGCCTGGCTACTTTTTTGATTTATTGTGGAGACAAGGTCTTGCCAAGTTGCCAGGCTGATCTCGAACCCCTGGTCTCAGGCAATCCTCTCATCTTCACCTCCTAAAGTGCTGGGATTACATATGTGAGCCCCTGTGCCTGGTTTGTATATACATTTTTTGTAGTGATATTATAGTATACATAAAGTTTTATAATCTGCTTAATTTTAATTTCTTTTTTAAGTTATGAAGTAGTTTAATATTCAACATCATATAGAGGAAAATATGATCAATGGCAGGGCACCTACCACTGGTTTATCAAATTTTTACTCTTTTTCTTTGCTTTGTTTTCTTTAGAAATAATGCAGCACAGTTATAATTGATGGGCCCCTATGGACCCATCCCTCATTCTATTCTTCTTCCTCTCTCAAAAGATAAATACTCTAATGACTCATGGACTAAAATTTAAAACAGGAAAAATAAAATTTAGGTAACTTTATGCAACTTAACATATGTTATGAAAGCTATAATTTTCAACAAATCTATACTAATTACTGTAATATTGCTATTTTCTATCTGTGCCTCCTCTGAGTTTCAAGGTCCCTGCTCATACTCCAAAGCTACCTCTGACCTAACTTCCTGAAAATAAGGTTATTACATGCAGTTAAAACCAATGGGAAGTTAAAAAAGCATTTCTACATTACTTTGTACTACACCCACTCCTTTTTTCACTGTAGGTTGCAAATATAACAATGAAGAAACTGGAAACACTTTTAGATCGATTGATGAAACATTTGTCTTAGGTAAATAATGCAAACAACAGAGAACAATGTATTTTCCTTCGTAATAGAATTTTTATTTGTGCCCCAAGAAATATGGACATACCAGGACTTCCAGGAGCTCCGGGGGGACCACTAGGACCTGGAAATATATAACATTAATTAATTGCTTGCAAAGATATAAATGTTACCCTGTCTACTTTTGAAATCTTGGGTGATAATATAATAATAATTAATAATACAGCATTTTAAATACTGTTTTCTACTCTCACATAAATAAATATTAGAAAACTTTGCTTGTTTAGATAAGTCGCCAAGAAATAGCTAATTACAAGTCTAACACCCAAAAGCAAATTATGCCACCTTATCAATTTCACATAATTCAGCAGAGATTTATTAAGAGTCTGATCTGAGTTCAGCACATTGTTGGTAGTTCAGATGCAAGAAAATCAAACTCTTCTGGAAACAATAAGGATTTGCAGTTAGGCTTGGTAATCCATCTTAGACTGCTTTGACCTGCAACATTCCGTAGGGTTCTAGTTCTTTTAGAACGACTTATAGTAAGTATATAAAATGTTTAAAAATCTATCTCAAGTCTAATTTAGCTGTCATTTTCTTTAAATACACTGGGGAATTTTACTCTTTAAAGCAAAATTCTCCCTTGTAATCTTGTTTATATCAGTGATTTGTCAAGATCAGAGTACAATCTACCAATGCCCAAGGTCCTCCTCCAGACAATGAAATTAGAATCACGGGGTAGGACCTTGACAAAGTCATTATTTAGAAATTCCCAGGGATACTAATATATAGCCGGAGATGAGAGTTACTGGCCCAGAACTTTCAGATCTTTCAAAAGTGATAAAATATAAGTAATGTGAGAATAATTCATGGCACCAAGGATAGATCTTTATTCCAAGAGTCAGGAAACTAGAGCTTCAGTATCCCCTTGTAAGCATCTGTGTGGGCTTGTTCAAGTTGCAGCATTTTGGGGTCTCTGTTTTCTCTTTTGTAGCCCACTGAGATTGTCAATTCCCTGGACTCCTTCCTTTTTCCCTCCTACTAGTGTCTTCTTACCAGACTTGAACTTTCTGCTTTCCCACATAAGGGTAATTTAATTCCCTTCTTGGTATACCACTTATAAGTTATAAAAATTATGAGATATCAAAAATTCAAAGAAAATTAGGAGACATCAAAAAATACTACCTCTATGAAAATGTAGAGATCTCTCCTGCCATCCTTCACTCACCCAAAATTCTAGGTTTATAACCACACACTGTTTATTATCTTGAATGAAAGCCAGAAAAATATTCAGCAAATTCTCTAGGAAAAAATGCATTCTCACCCTGTGGGCCTTGAGATCCTTTGGGCCCTGGTGGACCTGGAATTCCTTCATCTCCCTTTTCCTGGTATGCATCATAATATTCTGTCTTAAAGGAGAAAGAAATGAAAAAAAGAGAAAGAATAGCTATTTATGGACATTTCACCAAATGCAGTTTCTTCATTTTGACTAAAAAGATACCTTCCTTATTTTCCTGAATTTATAAGTTTATATGTTAGCAGGAATATAGTAGTCATGTATATGCAGATAAATAAGTTTAGAAGTTGATCTCTTTGTACCATGATATCATATATTTCATGGGCTTTCAATTAGAAATATTTTATGATGTGACCCAGATCACACACCCACATTTATATATATATGATTTCTGTATACATACACACACAAGCAGAGATATGTATGTATTAAAGTTTCACAGAATAGTGACTTAACATTACAACATATGATCGAACCTGCTACTTTTAATTTTATTCTATTTAACTTTTAAAAAATGCTGGTCTGATGAACAAAATTTATTTTAGAGAATAATGGGATCCACACATAAGAAATACTTATTATTTCTTTAAATTCCAGGGCACCATTGACCTGTAAGAATAGAAGAATATTGTTTCTGACATGCTCAGTGGACCTACTGCTGGTCTCTTTAACCATTTTTTCATAGGCAGAACTTCTTTTGAAGTTAGTAGAAGCTGAAATTTGAGCTATATGGAATTGAGCATAAGAAAATACACATAATGAGGAATGCTAAGAATTCCTCTAAAGTGCAATGGATAGGTTGATAGATTTCCCTTAGCATGCAGTATATTTATCTTGTAAGTATCTGTGTGAGTTTGTTCAAGCTTTAGGATTTTGGGGTATCCACTTTCTCATTTGTAACCCACTGAAATTGTCAATTCTTTGCATGCCTTCCTTTTGGGGAAAGATAGATTTCCTTAGCATGCAGTATATGTATCTCAAAGGAAAGAAAGTAGTGATATAAAATATTTTTTAAAAATTCTTAGTTTTGCTTTTTCTTATACTGCATGAGCCAATTACTTTGTTGACTTTTTTAAAAAAGATGAAGTAACAAGAAACTTGTGGTTAAGCAAAATGTATAAAATCACAAAAAAGTATTTTTATTATTAATAATATAATAATCTCCACTGAGAAATCCATAATGATATGTATATACTTGCTATATGTTAGGTATTGTGCTAAGTGCATCACAAAAAAACCCATTTAATTTTCCTGGAAACCCCATGAAAGTATTTTGGGACAGCTATGATTTGAATGTATCCTTTCAAAATTCAAGTGTTGCTAATGATATGGTATTAAGAAGTGGGACCTCAGCAAAACTATGCCTCATTGGTATCCCAGAGGAAGAAGGGAAATGGAAAACACCTTGGAGCAAGTATTCTAGGATGTTATCCAAGGAAAATTTCCCCACCTCACCACAGATGTGAACATCCAAACACATGAGATACAGAGAACCACTGCAAGATATCAAATGAGAAGACCAACACCTAGACATATAATAATTGACCTACACAAAGTAGGTACAAAAGAAAAAAATCCTAAAGACTGCAAGACAGAAAGGTCAGACTATACCTACAGGGGAAAACCAATCAGAATAGCAGCAGACCTATTGGCAGAAACACTACAAACTAGAAGGGACTGGAGTCCAATATTCAATGCCTTCAAAGGTAAACAATTTCAACAAGAATTTCCTACCCAGCAAAGTTCAACTTCACATCAGCAATGGAGAATTAAAATCCTTCCTAGACATCCAATCCCTAAGAAATTATGCAGCTTCCAGACTAGCTATACAAGAGATACTTAAAAAGGTATTAAGCACAGAAGAAGAAAAAAAAGAATGACTGCACACTTCCTAAGAGAACAGGAGAACAGAGAATACATTGCAACTGAAACTTGAAAACACACATATACATAAATCCAAAAGTTAAAAGAAAACAAAGAAAAAACTTGATAAGAACCTGAAGATCACAATCACATTTCAATAATCAGCCTGAACGTGAATAGACTAAAGGCACCACTGTAAAGACACAGAATGGCAAACTGGATAAAAAACCATTACCCAATAATTTGCTGCATCCAGGAAACTCATCTCACCACAAGGGACACACACAGACTCAAAGTTAAAGGATGGAAAATGAATTTCCAGGTGAATGGATCACATAAGAAGGCAGGAGCTGCGATCTTATTATCAAACAAAACAACTTTTAAGTTATCAAAAATTTTAAATGATACAGGACACTACATAGTGATAAAAGGTTCAATTCATCAACAAGAAATATCCATCCTAAACATATATGCACCCAACACAGGAGCACCAGCATTTATAAAGCAACCACAAAGTAAACTAAAAAAAGATATTGACTCTAACATTGTTATAGCTGGGGACTTAAATACCCCCACTAACAACCCTAGATAAATCATGGAGGCAAAAAATCAACGGAGAGATCTGGAACCTCAACTTGACACTTGACCAAATGGACTTAATAGATACCTATAGAATGCTCCTCTAAACAACCACAGAATATACATTCTACTCATCACCACATGGAATGTACTCCAAGATCAACCATATCCTTGGCCATGAATCAAACATAAACAAATTTCATAAGATTGAAATACTGCCATACACCTTCTCAGATCACAGTCTAATATTAATCAGCATGATGCCGAACAACTACTGGGTCAACATAGAAATCAAAACAGAAATTAAGATTCCTGGAAACAAATGAAAATGAAGAATCATCTTACCAAAACCTCTAGGATGCCATGAAATCAGTTCTATGAAGGGAATTCTATCTCTGTGAATACACATCAAGAAGTTGGGAAAGAATACAAGTTAACAGCCTAACATCACCCAAGGGAGCTGGAAACATGACCACGAAAACCCTAACTTCAGCAGAAGAATCCAGATCACCAAAGTGAAAGTCCAAATATGGGACACAGAAAGACAAAAATATAGAAAAAAAATTAGTAAAACAAAAAACTGGTTCTTTGAAAGAATAAACAAGATTGATGGACCACTAGCCAGAATGACCAAGAAAAAGAGAGAAAAAGCCCAGATAAAATCAGAAATGCAAGAGATCAAATCACAACTGACCCTGAAGAAATACAAAAGATGATCAGAGATTACTATGAACAACTGTATGAAAACAAACTTTATAACCTAAATGAAGTGGGAGACTTTCTGATATCACACAACCTCCCAAGATTGAAACAACAAGACACTGAGACACTAAATAGACCAATAACAACACAGGAAATTGACTCTGTCATGAGAAAACAGCCTACAAAAAAAAAAAAAAAGCCCTGGACCAGATGGCTTTCCAGTGGTGGAATTCTTCAAAATATACAAGAAGGAGTGATACCAATTCTATTGAAAGTATTTCAGGCAATTGAGAAAGATAGAATTCTCCTCAAATCATTTTACGAAGTTAATATCACACTGATACATAAACCAGGTAATGACCCAACAAAAAAAAGAGAACTACAGGCCAATATCCCTAATGAACATAGATGCAAAAATTCTCAACAAGATTCTAGCAAATCTGATTTAACAACATATCTCAAACATCATCCAGTATGACCAAGTAGGCTTCCTCGGTATGCAGGGCTGGGACAACATCTGCAAGACCATAACTGTAATTAAATTCATCAACAGAAGTAAAAGTAAGAATCACATGATTATATCACTAGATGTGAAAAAGCTTTTGATAAAATCTAGCATCCCTTCTTGATAAAAACCCTCAAATACCTAGGTATAGAAGGAACATATCTCAAAATAGTAAATGCCATCTATGATAAATCCATAGCCAGCATATTACTGAATGGACAGAAACTAGACGCATTTCCCCTGAAGACAAGGCTGCCCACTCTCACCGCTCTTGTTCAACATTGTGCTGGAAGTCCTAGCTACAGCAATTAGACAAGAGAAGGAAATCAGGGGTATCCAAATAGGAAAAGAAGTTAAGTGAGTTATCTCTCTTTGCTGATGATATGATCCTGTACCTCAAAAATCCAAGAGAATCTGTCAAAAACCTCCTTACACTGAAAAAGGACTTTGGCAAAGTCTCAGGATACAAAATAAATGTGCAAAAGACAGTTGCATTCTTATAAACCAATAACAAACAGGCAGAGGACCAAATAAAAAGCAGAATCCCATTCACAATAGCCACACACACACAAAATGAAATACCTTGGCATCTTTCTAACCAAAGAAATTAAAGACTTTTACGATGAAAAATGCAAAACACTGCTCAAAGAAATCCAAGGAGACACAAACAAATGGAAAAACATTCCATGCCCATGGATTAGAAGAATCAGCATTGTTAAGATGTCCATCCTACTAAAGGCAATCTTCAGATTCAAAGCAATACCCCTTAAATTACCTACATCATTCTTTTCACAATACAGAAATTCATATGGAAACATAAACAACCATGAATAGCCAAAACAATCCTTAGCAAAAGAAACAAAGCAGGAGATGTCACACTTCTAGACTTTAAACTTTACTATAAGGCTACAATAATCAAAACAGCCTGGTGTTGGTACAGAACAGGTATATGGACCAATGGAACAGGATAGAGATTTTGGAAGCAAAATTTCAATTTCTCAACCAACTCATCTTCACCAACAACCACTGGGGAGAGGAGAACCTCTTCAGTAAATGGTGCTGGAAAAACTGGCTGATAACATGCAGGGGATTGAAACAGGACCCCTACCTATCACCATACACAGAAATCAACACTAAATGAATCAAAGACCTAAATGTATAAGGATCTTGGAAAATGCAGGAGAAACCCTTATGGAAATTGGAACTGGCAAACAATTCCTGATCAAAACCCCAAGTGCCCATGCCATAAGAGATAAAATAGACAAGTGGGACCTCATCAAACTGAAAAACCTTTGCAAAGTAAAAGAAGCTATCAAGAGAGTGGGGAGACAGCCCATATAATGAAAAAAAAATTTGCTAACTGTATATCTGACAAAGGTCTAACATCAAGGATCTACAAGGAACTCAAATGAGCTGAAAGGAAAAAAACAAACAGCCCCATTAAAAAATGGGCAGGCCAGGCTCGGTGGCTCAGTCTATAATCCCAGCACTTTGGAAGGCTGAGGCGAGTGGATTGCCTGAGTCCACGGATTCGAGACCAGCCCGGGCAACTTGGTGAGACCTCGTCTCTACAATTAAAAAAAACATTAGCTGGGCATTGGAAGGCTGAGACAGAAGGTTTGCTAGAATCCAGCAGGTCAATGCTGGGATAGCCATGAGTGTGTCACTGCACTTTAGCCTGGGCACCAGAGTGAGACTCCAACTCAAAAAAAAAAAAAAAAAAAAAAAAAAGTGGGCAAAAGACATGAATAGACACTTCTCAGAAGAAGATATACAGACAGCCCACAGACACAAGAAAAAGTACTGTCTTACTAATCAGAGAAATGCAAATCAAACCACACTGAGATGCCACCTAACACCAGGAAGAATGGCCATCATTAATAAAACAAACAACAGATGCTGGTGAGGAAGCAGAGAAAATGGAATGCTTTTATACTGGTGGGAATGCAAACTAGTGCAATCTCTTTGGAAAACAATGTGGCGATTTCTAAAAGAACTAGACATTGACCTTCCATATGAACCAGCAGTCCCCCTACTGGAGGAACTCAAATCATTCTACAAAAAAGATACCTGCACACTCATGTTTATTGCTATTCTATTCACAATAGCAAAAATGTGGAATCAACCCTGCTGCCCATCGAAACTGGGCCGGATTTTTTTTAATGTGGTACATATACACAATGAAATATTATGCAGCCATAAAGAAGGACAAACATTTGGACTTTGCAGAAACTTGGATGGATTTAGAGTCTATCATACTCACTGCTCTATCACAGAAAGAAAGAATAAAGTACCACGTGTTCACACTCATATAAGTGGACCTTGAACATTTATCATAATACTGTAAGAAAGGGATTGGCAGTAGTGGGATACTGCTGTGGTGGCGACGGGGGTGGTGGGGTGAGGTAGAAATGGGGCACACATCAATAAGAGTACCTGATCTCAAGCCGGGCTCAGTGGCTCAGCCTGTAATCCCGCACCTTTGGGAGGCTGAGGTGAGTGGATTGCCTGAGCCCACGGGTTTGAGACCTGCCTGGGCAGTGAGACCTCATCTCTACAATAAATCAAAAAATCAGCCGGGCGTGGTAGCGCATGCCTGTAGTTCCAGCTACTTGGAAGGCTGAGGCGGAAGGATTGCCGGAGCCCAGCAGGTTGAGGCTGCGGTGGCCGAGAGTGGCCACTGCACTCCAGTCTGGGCAACAGAGTGAGACTCCAACTCAAAAAAAAAAAGAGTACCTGATCTCAAACCAGGCAAAGTGGGAACTAAAGGGAGGTCCAAAGTTTGCCTCTCGATGACCACTTGTATGCCTAATCCTGAATTGTACCCCACATCTTTAAAATAATAAATAGATTAATAAGTAAATAAATAAATAAAAGAGGCTTCTAGCAGCCTTAGGCTAATTTGCCTTTTCTGCCTTCTACTATGTGCGGACATAGCCAAGAAGGTCCTCACCAGACCAAATGCCAGTGCCTTGCTTTTGGACTTGTCAACCTCCAGAACTGTGAAAAATACATTTCTGTTTTTTATAAATCATTCAGTCTCAGGTAGAGTATTCTGTCTACAGCACCACAGAATTGGCTAAGACAGAGGTTCTATGCAGCTGAATCATTTGATGATGATGATTTACAGACTCCGCCTCCAATTCCTGAATCATTTAAAGATGATGATTTACAGACTCCACCTCCAATTACTGAGTTAAATTACTGAGAACTGCATATTTAACAGGACACTCCTTCCTCTTATGACTCTTTTGACACCATGAGCCATTTTTATCAACCTGCATGATTATTCATGGCAGCCCTGCTTGTATACTGCATGTGAGAGCCACTGTCTTTTGAGGTAGAAAATGAACAGACACCAGCACTCAGAGCCTGGGTCCTTTTTTCTCCTCTCCTTCAGCTGCGGAGTCACAGAATATAGAATGTGGCTACTCTGCAGTCAGGAGCTGACATCAAATTCATGTCTGTGCTGGGAAGGGGAGCACTGCCTGCTGCAATGAAGCTTGGGTTGGGAGGATTGGTTTTTCTACCTCTGTATTAAACCCGTGGCTTCTGCTGCCTGAAAGCTCAGGAGTTGTTATATCTCGGCCGGCTAGAGAGGAGGAAGAGCTGACTTCCTCACCCCTTAGTGCCCTTGCTTTATTCTACAGCAGTGGCCCTCTCTACCCTGAAAGCACAGGATTACCTTGGGACAGGTCTGGTTAGACAAAGCTTTTCTCTTCCTCCATAGCCCAGGGTAGGCATTACTAGCACATTCCAGGGACCAAATAGAAATGCTTACCTATTGTTAAATGGGCAAGTGATAACAGCAATTTTTGTTTGTTTGTTTGTTTTGGGGTTTTTTTGCCCTGGTTTGATAAAAAGGTAACTGCTACAATGTGTATCACAAGAGTTAATGAGATACATTGATTCAAAATTTCTTCCATATTTTAAAGGGCTTGATCAAACATAGCATTAATATTGTCTTTAATCACACTTACTGGACCACGAAATCCTGGAGGGCCAGTGTCTCCTTTCCATCCCTACAATGAAAGATAGTTACAAATTATGAATTTGTTAACCCAAAGTATTTTGCTTTCTAAATATACCAACTAATACTTATTTGGTATATTTAAAAAGAAAAATGCGCAATTGAACAATAAATTAATGCTAAAAGTAATGTTATTTAGATGTCATATACAAACCAAATTGAAGTTAAAGGGATACTGATTTTATTTTCCCAGAGAGCCAAATCTGGGTCAGAAATCCTATCTACAAGGTTGTAAAAAAGTGGTTGTTGCCCCAGCAGTTCTCCAGGTTTCTTGGTAGCACCTATCACCTCCAATGAGTGTTCATATGCATTGTACATTCCTGTGTCCTCATCCAGGTTAGAAGCACAGGAAATCCAGGCCTTGGGGCAATTCCCAGTATGCCAGCTATAATCAACTCCCTTTCTTTCAAGAGAAATAATTTCTTTCAGAATTCTATTGGAAGTGATACTGTTTAAGGATAAACCTTGAATCTGCACATATGTCTACATATATTGGCATGTGTCACATAACAATGGTTTGGTTAATGGTGGTTCCATAATATTATTGTATAATATTTTACTGTATCATGTCTATGTTTAGATGTGTTTTTTAGATATACAAATACAATCATGTTACATTGCCTACCGTATTTAGTGCAGGAACATGTTGTACAGGTTTGTAGCTTAGGAACAATAGACCATATCATATAACCTAGGTGTGTAGCAAGCTATGCCATCTAGGTTTGTGTAAGCATACGCTGTGATATTTGCACAATGACAAAATCACTGAACAGTGCATTTCTCAGAACATATGCCTGTCATTAAGCAATGTATGACCGTACAAATTACTTGAAAATGTCTGTAATGCATTGTCAGAAATGCAGAATGCAGTTCCTAAGAGTATTGTGACTCAGGCTGAGATTCACGAAGACGAGCCAATGCTTGATCTCAAATGACCAGAAACTTCCTATAAGCATAGGCATTTTTGAACCCTTTTCTTGTGGGGAGCTGAAATCTCACTGGTTCTAAGTCAGCCAACTTAGAACATACAACAAGTTTAATATCTTTCTCTCAAGAACACCCTTCAAATGTTTAATTTGCCACCTCTCTTTTTCTTCTTAACAATTATACTAAGGTATTTTAATGAAGTCTGTGATTGCAATCCTATGTACCTAGGTCCAGAAGGTGGGAGAAAAGGAAAAGGGCAGACAAAACTGAATCTATTAAAAAAGCCTGCAGATAGGATACTTGGGAGGAAATTACCTTAATGCCATTTTCACCTGTTAATCCTGGGAAACCCCTGTTGCCCTTGGCTCCCTAAAGACAAGAACGCAAGGAAATGATCAATTACATCTGTAGGAAGCAGGAGCCATGCAAACTCATTTTTTTAAAAAAGACTGCTCAGATGACCTCTCTTCACAGTGAAGATGTAAAACTATGACTCTCAAATGTTGGTTTTAAAAACTGTAAGCTTTTTGCTTGTTTATAACTATTTAGTGACTCTGAAAAATCCTTCATCTATTAGGACTGACTATATCCATGGACCAAAGGAAGTCTTTACCTCAATGCCAGGGAAGCCAGGGGCACCATCTTTTCCAGGTTTGCCCTAAAATAAAAGCAAAATATGTAATTTAACAAATACGAATAATGTTAAAACAGAAATTGCAAAAATGCGATCATTTTCTATAGTCAAGAAAGCCTGAACGAGGTTCCCACCTAGGTGTTAGAAGGAAAATCTATTAATTGCAAAATACACAATGACCCTCCCCTCCCAGGAAAGGCAGAAGAAGTTGGAATGAGAGAAATTAGAGAGAATCAAAAGAAGGAAGCAAGGAGATTAAAGACTAAACTTAGAGTTGATGATGTTCATAACAAACTTGGAAGGAGAGTAAAGAAAGCACTGAACAGAGTTATCCTAGAAAGAAAGGGTCAATTTATTTATTTGAAATGTTGGTAATTTCCTGAAACCCAGGAGTGTCTATATTTAAATATATGTATAATTATATATGTGATATCTAAACTGCTTTTGGGTCATACCACACTTTTCCCAATATATAATTTTTAAACAATATATGTATTTAAATCTTTCCAGAATGGATCTGGTTGGGGTAGTAGGCCTCTGCCACTTGTGTCTTCCCAGCATTCCACTTCTGGTCACCCAAGGCCCTATTTCCTTTGGGGAGCTGCTCTTCCCTCACTCTGGGTGCTTCTAATGGGGCTGTCAATCTCAGTAGCCCACTGCCCCACTGACCTGACCAATCACAGTACCTTTTCCTCCTGGCCACAGCCATTTTTCCAGAGTGAGACATAGGACCCAAGCTGGGCCAATTAGATCGATTCCCTGGGAATTTATGTAAGGACACAGGGAGAGAGATACTCTCCTTCTTTCCAGATGCAATTAACTTGAAATTGTCTGCTGCTACACCTTGCTCTTTTCCCCCAGCTCCCCAGACATGGAAGAAGATCATCTGTCAAAGGAGAAAATGAGGCTGATACACAGAGAGAAGCAGAAATGAGATGTAAAGAAAGTCCTGACCAAATTTTTTCAGGCCCTAACGCCCTTGAAAGCTGTTTTAGCCTTGAACTTCTCAGACACTTGACAAATAAATCCCATCTACCAAATATTTTTTTAAATTGTTAATTTATACTAGTTTGAGTTGGGCATCTCATTCTTGCAAACTAAAGAGTTCTGAGTTTTTTCCTGAGAGGAAAAAAGAAAAACAAAAAAAGAAGTTTTTCTTGGCATTTTCTTGTGCACAATAACGAAATGCTGTGCTTGAAGGCTTTCTGTCCTGTGAGGCTCTAGGGATAAGAGCAACTATATTTTTCATAATGATAGGGTCTTTCCATAGTCTGAGCTCTCACCCATTGCCAAATATTTGAAAACGACTTGCAGATGGACTCAAATTCTCTGCATTCATATGACATCCACTGGGTACTTCCCACATGTACAACAGGACACCAGCAAATGGTGTATTTTTTCTCATGTGAATACTCATGTTTTAAAGTGTGTAGCATAAGCAAAATCTTGGTCACATTGCTTATATTTTGATGGCTTGCCTCCAGTGTCTGTTATATGTAAATTTTGAAAACTCATTAAATACTTTTCTACAAGTTTTACAGTCATAAGACTGTTAGTCCTCGAATGTTAAGTAGGGGACTATTTATTAGTTATCTATTGCCATTTAACAAATGACTACAAACTCATCAGCTTAAAACAACACATAAAAAAAGAGTCCCGAGTTCTGATTAATAAAAGCTGCAGACAATGCCAAATTTCCAAATTTACCTGTGGGCCAGGTTCCCCAGCAGCACCCTTCACAGTTCCATAGGATTCTCCAGGCGATCCCTGTATTAATCAGAGTTATGTCAAGTTTGATGAATTGTTGACTTTTTTATCTACATTGATTTTTATTAATGTCCTTTCTGATTATTTTGCCATTTAAAAAAATGTTTAAATGATGAACCACCTAAGAGGGAAATTTTATTTATGAGTATTAAGGAAAAAACAGATGCTAAAAAGGCAGACGCTGGGTATAAGTCATAAGATGGGTGGCATCGGATGTGTGTGCAACAGTGCAAGGATTTCAGCTAGAAGAGGTCATAAAGGAATTCTAGCATATTTATGATCTCTGTGGTCAAATGTTACCACGTTTTAGCCAGTATCAAGATTTATAGGTAAAACATTTGTGAAATTAAATACTAAGGTTCTATTTCATGTGTCACAGAAATAATATGACTTTAGATGACCTACTGAGGTTCCAGGAGGTCCAGCTTCGCCCATCGCTCCCTTGTCTCCCTTCTCCCCCTTGAGCTCCTGCCACAAAAACAATTCAACACTGTTAACAAATGGGGCAAATGAAATTTCACTAGTTATACTTGGAAAAATCCCATCTCTGTTCAATAAACTGGATTTACAAACTACTAAAGTGTCTCATGTTAACACAGCCCAACAGGTCGTCCTGTTTCTCACCTGTGAACCCACTGAAACTACATGCAAACTTCAAGAAAATATATCTGGTGGACCAAATTATATTATTTGTCACAATGAAAATGATCAAAAAATGACTGTGATAATGGTTATAACTGTGAATAAGCTAAAAGTCATTGACTTGTACACTAAATGAGCAAATTTTTTGTTATGTTAGTTATATAGTTATAATTTAATTCTTTGTTTTTTTGTTGTTTTTTTTTTGAGTTGGAGTCTCACTCTGTCGCCCAGACTGAAGTGCAGTGGCCGCTCCCGGTTACCGCAGCCTCGACCTGCTGGGCTCCGGCGATCCTTCCGCCTCAGCCTTCCAAGTAGCCAGAATTATAGGCATGCGCTACCACGCCCGGCTGATTTTTTGATTTATTGTAGAGATGAGGTCTCGCTGCCCAGGCGGGTCTCGAACCCGCGGGCTCAGGCAATCCACTCACCTCAGCCTCCCAAAGGCGTGGGATTACAGGCTGAGCCACCGAGCCCAGCTTATAATTTAATTCTTGAATCCATTTTTAAAAGTGCACTTAAATCATTTCTAATGTAGTTTACTTTGATTTTAATAAACTAAAATTATTTCCACTGAGAGGAATTCTTTTCTGTTTAAATATTACAATGGAGGTTTAATTTATTAGTCAGGTTTGATTGCACTTTTATCACAGTTTATAGATTATATTTTTCCCAATGTGAGTTTTCTCCTGAGGGCATCGTTTTTTTCAAACTCAATTAGTTTCCTTGGGTCATGTACTCTAGATCGAGATTTTGTTCACATAAACTTTTTTCTTTCATTTTTCAGAAAAGAAAATTTTAGATTTTATAAATATTTCTGTTGTCGATTACCTCTGCCAAGTTTAGTTATATTTCTCAAGATTTTTTCCAGTCTTCAACGTGAATTATTATTTTGGTCTTATCAAGTTTTACCATGTTTTGTTTTAACTCTTGTTAGTTTTGTTTTGATAAGTTACATCATTAAAAATTAATTACATGAAGGGGTGACATCTAAGGAGTTTATTTTTGCCATAAGAAAAATGATCTAAAAATGACTGTGAATAAGCTAAAAGTCATTGACTTGTACACTAAAGAGCACATTTTTTTGTTATGTTAGTTATATCTCAATAAAGCTATTGCAATTTATTATAACTAAGACTCATGAAATGTGTGCTTAAAAAGAATATATTTTATGGTATGTGAATTATATATCAATTTATTATTTCAAGCAATTAATTGTAAGTTTAAAAGAGAATAGTAGTTTGTGTTTATTTTGTAGTTAATCTACAAGAAAATTGTTAGCCACAGCTTTAGTTCCTAATTTTTCTCCTAGACGTTCCAGAAACCCTCTAGTGTCTAGGATTGGCATATTATGTTGTGGATTTACTTCTTAGCTTTTAATTCAGTTCTATACTCTGGTCCTCCCAGGCACCCCAGTGTGGGAGCAAAAAGCAAATGCGACTGTGAAAGTGACAGTTATAGTGTCCTTGGTGAGAAGTGGGGGGTCACATTGTCCTTTAGGTTACAATGGTGCATAAAAACGTTTCATTTAATTATGATACTCCTTCATCCACATCTCTAGGTCATTACCATCCAGTCAGATCAGAATCACATTATTTTGGTATCATTTCTTCAAAAATACTCACTGAATACCCACACTGCGTTAGGGACAGTAAAAGAAGATGTGGATACAAGGGTGAACCAAACTTGGACTCTGCTTCTAAGAATCTTGAAAGTTGCTTGCCTCAAATTTTCTCCACCTAATGTTTCCAGGCTTATAAGTGAAGGATGGAAAAGAATAAATCTTAGAGTTTCAGGCTGCCTGAGGGGGCTGGTGTGAGGTAGGCTTAGATTTCAGAGCTTGTGAAAGAGAGAAGGGATCACAAGGACTTCATCCCAGAGATGGATAGGTGCAACCCTAATAACAAAATTACAGTTACCGTTCTGTTATATGGGCTAGTTAAGGTCACAACAACTGTTCCTGGTGGTCCCGGGGGTCCAGTTAGTCCTTTCACACCCTAAAGACAAATACACCCAGGAGTGAGAAACTTATCAATTTCAACATTGCTATGTCTGAAAGAGTTACATTCCCCTTTAGTTCTCATGCAAGAAGACAGAGCGAAAGAAGGCACATCAATTTAAATTTGACTAGTGAATAAATGACATGGGCTGGTATGCTCTGGAACTTAAAAACATCCTGCCTGCTAATAAACCACAGATTTCAAATTACCGGTTCTCCTTTTTGTCCTATCACTTTGTCGCCCATATGACCCTGTTGAGAAAACACAAAACCAAATTATTATTATTATTATTATTATTATTTGAGTTGGAGTCTCACTCTGTTGCCCAGACTGGAGTGCAGTGGCCGCTCCCAGCCACCGCAGTCTCGACCTGCTGGGCTCTGGCGATCCTTCCGCCTCAGCCTTCCAAGTAGCCGGAATTACAGGCATGTGCTACCACGCCCGGCTGATTTTTTAATTTATTGTAGAGATGAGGTCTCGCTGCCCAGGCGGGTCTCGAACCCACGGGCTCAGGCAATCCACTCACCTCAGCCTCCCAAAGGTGTGGGATTACAGGCTGAGCCACTGAGCCCGGCTTCCAAATTATTTTTAAAAAAGAAATAGGAATAGTCTAAATCCATTAATGTAATAGTCATAACCAAGCATTTATATTTTAATCTTAATTTTAGAATTATAAAAGTTAATTAAGCAATTTTTTTAGAGTAGAGCATCAGTATGTTTCTTTTATAGAGAGAGATCTTGAGGTGCAGAAAGCCTAAGGGAAATACTTGCTATGATGAACAATGGCATGCAGTGGTGAGGGGTAGGGAGAGAAACCAGCTCAGAGCACTCAACTTCCTGATGCCCTCATTTTCTCATCTTAAAAATAAGAATGGGTAGATGAATTTTAGGATTCTGAAATTCAGTAGTTAATGTGTAGAATCTAAGAACAGAATTCAAGCTACCTGACTTCACTAGTAATGTAGTGGTAAGAGGTGAGTCTAACCTGAATACAGAGGGTATTTTCTTAATGCCATTTTAAGAAAAAATGGTATTAAAATGGTAATACCTGATATATACCCATAACAAAAGATGAATGTAAGACACGTTTGACTTCTGCAATTACAAGAGGTGCTCAAAATGGTTACAATCAGTTTCCAAACACTTCTGATTAAGGTGAGCTACTGTTGAGCAAATTGTCCACTTGTTGACCAAAGTGTCTACTTGTATCTCTGCACATGCCATTTCAATTTCTTCCTGAAGTACCACCAGTGTCGCCAGTTTTCTATTTTCTATGGTATACCACATCCTTTAAGGTCCCCCAGTGTAGAAGTCAAGGGGTGTCAAGTCAGGAGAACATGAAGGAAACTCAACTTCACTGTTCCATTCAACTTAAACTGTGCTTCATTAGACAAATCATTTTTCCCACATCAACTTCTCATCATCTCGTACCATGTCTTGGAACCACTCACAATACTGCACCCTTAGATCAAGGTTGTCTTCATACAGTGCATGTAATAATCTTAGGATGAAAACTTTCCATTTTGCTGTTTTAAGAATGTGTCATATGCTTGTTCTGCTGACTACTGTCTCACATGCACATTGTTTGGTAAACTTCCGCTGTGAACATGTAAACTGTTCCAATACCATAGCAGAAGAAGCAGGACTTGTTGCTGGGTGAGGCCTTCTGGATCTTCCCTTGTGCACATCACACACATCACAAACATCACACACATCACACACACATCACACACAGTACCATGAGTCTCAAACTTATCACAAATGCATGCAGTTGTGAGACGTGTTGAAGGTTCTGGTGCATACTCATGCTTCCATTGTGTTGTACTTCCACAACATTCTCGAATTTCAAATGCCACTTCAAAATGAACTAGTACTCCTCAAACGACAACCATGCTTCTGCCATTTTCTTTGTCCTGCCTGTCGCATGGTGGCGCTAGCATTCATTTGATTAATGCTATCTTTTGTGCATACATCATAATACACATTGATTCTGTAATTCAATTCAACTTCGAAGAGTATTACATAGATAACATCTCTTTAAATGTATATACGTCTTTTTTGGTACCCCTGGAAGTTCTCTTCACTAATAATGATCAACCCATGACTTCGACCAATATTTGCTTGTTTTCTTGCTCTTAAGTTTGCAGATCTTCTCCCTATTAGCCAGAAAGCTGTGTGGAACCAAAACACTTTTAACCTCAGTTCTGCCATTTACTATCCATTGGGACAATTCACTTAACTTGAACCTATCCATTTCTTGGGGTGTGTGTGTGTGTGCGCATGCTTGCATGTGTGTGTACATCAGTGAAATAATGTGAAAATACCCAATAATATACAAAGCCATCTGATAGTAAGTAAGACACACTGTGCTTAGGACTAATTTTCTGGTGGGGCTCAACCTCACTCAACTTTTTTATACTTAAACTAGCACTTGATCTTTTTAGTAGAAAAACATGTAAGACTCTGCTCAATGAGCACACAAATAGTCATAGTTTACTGACTAGCATAAGATCAGGTTTGGGTTGGTGAAGCAGCCCACTACGAAAATTCATATGATGATGTGCTGTGTGATCAGTAAGATGATCAGGAACAGAAAACCAATGGATTAAGAATCCTTGCTTTTTTTATGATAAGGGACTCTTTATAACTTGAATTAAGACTCTTTGTATCAGGGATCGAGTTGCTGAAATGTAGGGAGAAGAGAGGTAAGAGCTGCTAGCCATATGTCCTTCCCTGCACTTTACAGAGGGGACCTGGCAGTGATCCACAAGAGGAAGCAGACTACGTTTGGCTTCTGGGTTAGTCAGGGTGTTCTGGCTGTTACAGCATATGAACTGTAGTTTACCTTAGGTCCTCTAGGTCCCATGGCTCCTGGAAAGCCCTAGAAAAATCCACAAATTAAAATCACAGCAAGAAATGCACCCAGTCAGAAAACTTAAAAAAAAAAAAAAAAAAACGCAACTTTTTGCTATAATTAATGTATTAGTTTAGAGTCTATAGCAATGGTGATTTCGTACTCACAAAGAATCCTGGAGGGCCAGGTGGGCCCATAGGCCCAGGAAAACCTGGAGGGCCTGGCAAACCCTTTAAATTAAGAGAAAAATAAGAGTAAGTTTAAATTTACTTTTTGCCTAAGAACAATGTCTATTAATTAAAAGCATAATATATTTCAATAAAGTCAGAAAAGCCTAGCACCTCTCCTTTAAGTGGCCACAATTACATTCAACCCCCAAAATTGTGCTGCCAGGACCATCCTGATGATACTGTTTCTAGGAAAATGACCAGGGCAGCTGTTTTGCCTTAGAAGTTTTCAAAAGTCTGCTTTTCTTTCTCTTTCTATCTCTCTCCTTCTCCCTGTTCTTTCTCTGCCGAGGATGCGCTTTCCCCAGATATTTATATGACTCACTTCCTCTCCTTTTTCTTTTCTTTATGCAATTGTCATCCTTTCCATAAGGCCTCCTGATTATCTAAAGTTGTAGTCCACCTTCTGACCCAGACATTTCCTATTTCCCCTTCCCTGCATTATTTTTATCCTTAGCATGTATCACTACTGAACATACCATAAAGTTACTAATTCACACTTTTTTCCTGTTTTTCTCACTAGAATGTAAGCTGTATAGGGGATATATGAAACAGGGTTCTTGCTGTATTGTTCGGACTGGCTTAGAACTCCTGGGCTCCAGCAACCTTCCTGCTGCAGCTTTCCCTAGCAGATGGGAACCGTATCGATGTCATGGATTACTACTATCCCCTCTTCCTGGGTCTCCTGCCTTCAACATTTGGACTTTTAAATGTTTCCTAAGCAAAAAAGCAAGAGGCATCATGTTCTGTATCTTCTCTCAATAGCCTAAATTGGCTCTTCATTGCATCACTCTGCATTTTTGCAGCTCTAGTCTAACTCACAACTCACCATCAATTGCCATGGCTCACCACGCAGGAGTTCGACAATGTCAGCTCGAACTCTGACTCAGGCAGATGTCCAATCTCCACCCAGGAATTTCCACATATAATTCTGAACTAAGTTAGGATATTTCTGGGTAATTAACCTAAAAGTTAATACTTGCGGCTTAGGTCTACCAAAGGGTCCTTTTAAACTGCAAAGTAGTGCACAGACAGCCCCACACATAGTTGTATCATTGTATCATTTGGATCACCCTTAGGCTACATACCCATAGATCAGTAAAGCAAACTACTCAGTGGGAGAGAGTTGCCCTTAAATAAAATTCTTTTGTTTACTATTATGCAAATTTTAAGATAGGGTTGTTATTTAACATTACAGTTTTAAATGATATTCAATGGATCACAGGCACACACCACCATGCCCAACCCAAAACAATTTATTAAAAGCTATATTTTGTCTGGTTTGTATCCTAATATATCTCCAGAGCCTATAAATAGCACCTGGTGCATAATTGGTATGTGAAAAATATTTCTTGTCTAAATGAATGTGCTATCATTATATCACAACACTATTCCAATGACTAGTACATAAATGACAATCAATACACATTGAAAGACTGTGTTGATGTCCCGGAGACAAATCTTTCCTTAATTTCCACAAATATAGATTAAGTGGAACATGACCATCCCCATTAGGTTCAGGAAAGCTTGGGTGACCGAGAGATCAGAAGAGATTTTAAAAATGTATGCAAAATCATCTTTGTATATCAGCATCTTGTCATTTCTTATAATAAGATGAATGTCTTAGAATGAAATGAGGCAGGCATGTAAATAAAATAAATATGAATGTCTATTTAAAATGTTCTTAAGAAAATGAGAAAGACACGGGGAAAAGAGAGCTGAGGGAGAGAATGGAAGAGAGTTGAGAATGATAAGGATCTTCTCTGAAATGCTGTACCTGGGATCCTGGAGTCCCTGGCAACCCGGGGTCACCTTTTGCCCTAAGTTCTGTATCTTCTCCTTTAGCAGGAGCACCCTGGAAAATGAAGAAGTTCACCAAACAGAATCAATGCAATATTTTCAGAACACCTTTAAATGCTTATTCAAGGTCCTACTGCTTCAAGGATACATATGTTTTCTAGGACACAACTTTATAGAAATGATTCAGGATTTTGTAGTTCTTTCACTATGAAGAATTTAAAGTATTTTCGTATTTCTAAAATTGAAAATTTACTGTGGAAGAAAGACACAGAGATGATAAATCATTTCTCAAGATACCAAAATACAATTTTCAAGTTACCAAAATACAATTCTCAAGATACCAAAATGAGTGACAATTCCTGTCCTGAAATGTGTGGCCCTGAGCACGAGGTGGGTTCTCCTCTCCTAGACCCTAATTTCTTAAGAGATGATACAAAACTTGCATTCTTAAGACTCATTTATGATAAGAGCCAGAAGGAGTTGTTTAATAGGAATAAATACCATGTCTCATAATGATTAAGGTCTGAGTTATGAAATCTGATTTGTGATGATTTATATCTCATTGTTTAGTAGGAATCCTCTTCATATGTACAGTTGGAGACTTTCAGTAACAAGATTCTACCAATGATTTACCTTTTGTCCTTTCAAACCAGCAGCACCCTAGGAAAAAGGCAACATATTAGCAACTAGAGGTTAATCAGAAACATACACTCCTGCTGGGTCTGCTCTGTCCTCTGCTATTCTGCATCCTCTCCATACCTTGAACTTCCTACTAGCTTTCACGCATGCTCAGATCTTCTTCCATTTAAACAAACAAAATTTCCTTTTATTCTTTACCTCCTTGCATATGGCTCTGTCTCCCCTTCACCTCACCTGTGAACTTCCCATTTTGTTCATCTCGCACTCATTCCTCAGTCCCAATTCTGCCTTCTGACTCCATCCTGCCATGGAAATATCTCTTGCTAAGGCCAGAAATAACTTTGATGTTGCTAAAACAAATGCCAACATGCCAGTCCTCATCTGACTGGCTTCTCAGTGGCATCAGGTGAACGTCTGTCACTCCCACTGAAAGAGATATTTCCTTGGCTTCCATAATACCCACCTCCTGGTTCTCCTTCCTCCCTCCTTCCTTCCCTCTCTTCCTCCTTCCCTCCCTCCCTTTCTCTCTCTTCTTTTCCTCTTTATTTCTTTCTTCTCCACTGCCCCTCCCCAGTCGGGCTCTCACTCTGTCACCAAGGTGCCTCAGCTCCCCAAAGTGCCAGGAATACAAACATGAGCCACTGCACCTGGCTCCTCCTGGCCTTCTTTCTACCACCAGGAATATTCCTTCTTTATGCACTCATCCTTCTTGATCTACATGTTACTGCTGGAGCTAAGACTCACTTTAAAACCCCTTTTCTCCTCACTGTCACTCCTTGAGTCACCACCAGCTAGGACCTCTGCTCTGAGTGAATCTAAATGCCTGTTGTTCATCTGCATTCATATGTCTCAAAAGCAAAACAAAGTCTCATAGTCTAAAGCTAAACTCATAATGTATGTATATTCATTCATTCCCTATTAGTTGAATGTCTACTATTGGCTACCCCAGATTTTCCCAAAGTCATGACAGATTTGTGTATATGGCCATTTGGCGTAAACTACTTTTATTTATACTTTATGTCTTTGATGAGGAGTTAGAAACGCCAACTTACTGGGTTCCCTGGGTAGCCTGATGTCCCTGGAAGTCCCGGAAACCCTTGCTCACCCTGGAAGACATACAGCTTGTCATTATTCTGAGTTGTTCTAGAACAGCTTATTCAGATATTTTCCCTGTTTCTTTCTTCCAACCTTGAAGTGGTGGATCTAGACAAAGTAACCCAAATTCCTTATGGCTACTGGGTCATGAGGCTGAAGACCAAAAAACCCCATTATCTTAATTAAAACCAGGAGTAGAATACTGTTTCTCAAATTGTGCATAAATGGCAAAGTCTAATTGCGCCAAGAACTTTTTAATTGCTGCTTCCTTCAAACTTTAGTAATTAGTTCATTCACGGCCACCATTCTGGGGAAAAGGAGAGCTCAGTTAGAAAACAAAAGGAAATAAGTGAACATTGAAAAGCTGTCATTCCTTCCCAAAAACTAATTTTGCACTCAGGTCTTTAGTTTCTGATTTCTATACACAACCACAGATGAAAATAACCAGTTGAATCCCTGGGTTTATTTCTGTGGGAGAATTTCCTTAAAAGACACTTAGAAAGCAAGAATAAGGAGAAAAAAAGGGGAAAGGGGGGAGATCCTGGTTTCAAATCACAATGTTGGTTCCAACTAAAGGAATGTTTCAAGGAAAGTCTGTCTCCATCTCATTGCTACTTCACCTTGATTTATTCATTTGACAAAGTATGTATTAATCACTTTCTATGTGAAAAGTACATACCTTAGAACCATTGCATCCTGGTAAACCAGCAAGTCCATAAGGCCCAGGATTGCCCGGGGTGCCCTAAAGGGAAGACCAGTCTCAATGAGGAGTTCTCATCACAAGACACAACACAGAACCCAAGGGAAAGATGGAATACTTAAACATCTATTGAAATATAAATAGCTCACATTGATACAACTCATTGATCTTCTTTAGCTTTCTTATTTAACTTCTGCTTATATGTATATGTGTGTTTATTTAGTTATATGTGGTTTCATTACATGTGGAGTTTTGCATATGTCTATGATCACATTCAAAATAAACATTTCCATTGCCTCTCTCTCTCTCTCTCTCTTTATATATATATATGAATGGCGACTTAAATAGTTGTTGCAAATTTAAATTGTTGTTTTAGATATAATTTCATTAACATGACAAATAAAAGTCTAATTAAAATGCAGACTTAACACATAAGATGTCGATACTTCAGATAAACAAAAGTCTCTTCTACATAAAATGAAATCCCTTCATGTGCTGCTTTGAGCTGGTGAGAAAGGAAGGAAAAAAGAGGAGGGAAGTGTGCCCAAGGGTAACTATTTTGCCATTCCATGTTGTTAAATAGAATATTCCATTCCTTTTGACTCCATTCTATCCTATTCTGCTTGCATTTCAGAAAGTATGATTTGACACATATGTCATGTAAATCTATACTGTAACATAATATGTGATTTCATGGTGCCATTTTCTTCATATAACAAATGTATCAGAACACATTTCCTTGTGCTACTATTTTGACATCTTTATTAAAATGAGCTTTCTTTTCATTTCTCCAGCTACACATTTTCCCCATTACTTACTGGAAGTCCAGGAGAACCAGAAAATCCTGGTAATCCAGTGATTCCCTGAAGACATAGAAAAGAGGAGTGGGTGACAAAAAATAAGACAGTTTTAGAATGTTCAACTTTTTAAAATAAAATTATTTACCAATGAAATAATTGCTTCCTGAAACTATAATTCCAATCATCAGAATGATTGGGAAAACAACAAAAAAGTTTAACAAGCCTTTGTAAATCTTGCATTTATATAACTTTTAAAAAGAAATCATTAACATTGGTTTTGTTTCTTTTGATAGATTCTTAAGGTACAATTTGCATAAAATAAAGTGCTCCGATCTTCTGTGAACCATTTGACAATTGTATATCTATGTGCACTTTTGTATTACCACCATTCTGTCAGATATAGAGCTACTCCATCACTCCAGAAAGGTTCCTTCAAGCCATTTCCTGATCAGTTAACATGTGACCCTAATGTGGTTACCACTATTTTGATTTTGACCATTACAGATTAATTTTTACCTGTTCTTTAACTTCATCTATTGAACCATGCACAATGTGTCCCTTTCCAACATCTGTATTACTCTTACAGCACAAAGCTGATCTTTTTTTAGAGAAGAATGTTCATCAATCAGGATGGACTGGTTTGACTACTAACCCTTACGCCTTTGGGACCAGTGAGTCCTGGAAGTCCTGGAGAGCCCTAGATCCAAGTGAAAAAAGAAGAAGTCAACACTATGAAAATTATTTGACACTAAGAAATCCATATACAAAATCCGGTCTTATTCACATGCCAAGTTGTTTTGCTCTTGTGATTATTTCATTGTTGGTAGGGTTCAGCTGCTTACGTATTTCATTGGAGCTAAAATATTAGTAAAAAAAGACTAACAAAAATTCCTTCCAACCCTTGCTAGTCAAAGTGGAGTTTGGGGCCCATAATATTAGCATCACCTAGAAGCTTGAAGAAATGCAGAATCTCAGATCTCCCTCACCTCCCAGACTTATAGCATGATTCAGCATGATTCCTTGGTGATTCTTGTGCACATTAAAGTCTGTGAAGTGCTGCTGGAAAAGTCCTACATTAGCCAGACAGCTGCTGAGGTCTGATAAGAATGAATGACACTGTTACAATGGAGGATGAGAGTGGCAGCCAATATTTCTGTGCACAAGAAATATTTTATTAATAAAATGTGCCTGACATGTTTAAGTAAATAAATAGCCAAGTAAGGCCTGCCTGAAACAGAGATAAACTTGCTTTGGGCATTAATGCATCCAGTTTTGAGCTCCTGTTTCTTGGATAATAACCTTAAATGGAGACTGTTTTAGCTAGCCCACGTTGTGTGAAAGTTCCATTGTCCAAAAGCCATTTTCTTCATTCCAGAGTGTTTCAGTATGTTTTGGTATTTTTGATTATTTGAGAAAAGGATTGTTACAGAATCTTCTGATGTTACCCTGTCAAGGCCAAAGTCAGCTTCTCCTGTCTGAGGTGGAATTCCTGGGTGTCTGACAGTATTCAAGGTCATTCCCCTTCTCTGCAGAATGCTATTTGTGTGATGCAGAAGGCATAAGAGTAATTTTCAGGTTTACTTCCCCATTGTATATTTATTTCTTGCAGAAAATATATTTAAAATGAAGACAGAACGCTTATAAATCTGAATAATCTTTTTGGTCAGGTTTTCTCTAAGTCTCTGCCTTTGGTCAAATTATCTTTTCTGGCTATATCTATAAGCTTTACATTCTTTAAAATGTGAATCTATGACAACATGGCACACAGATTTTCTGGATTAATTTTATGGAACACTTACACATCATGTAGCCCATACTAAACACTATGTGTTTAAAGTTCTTATTTTAATTCATTGCTGCATCTCTTAAGAAATGCTGAAGACAGAGTAGGGTGCAGAGAACAATTTCTTTTCTTTCTTTCTTTTTTTTCAGTAAAGAGTTGGCATTAAGTTAAGGCTAAGTCCAGGACTTAAGTGGCAAACTCATTCAACCAATGAAAGGGAGATTATGCCCTGGAGGAAGTTAAAGGAATATTCAGATTCCGCCCAAAATATGAATGATTTTTTTCAAAATTATAATCAGAAGGAAGAAGAATTGAAAAAAGAGAATATATACATGAATATGATAGACATGGAAAAGGCACAGTTTCTGGAAAACAGCAGCCTTTTGCATTTCCCCTACAAACTGTAGGTGTAGATTTAGTTTCTTTGGTTTCAAGAATTTGATTCTGGTATTATATATGTGACATATGAAATATATTTTTGGGCTATGCTCTTGTTTCCTGGCACAGAACTTCTAAAACCCTTCTAATATTCTAAAAGAGAGGAATGCAAGGACATCTTTCATTCTACTATTTGGTCTTTGACTCCAGTTCCAGACTCAGAGCTCTTAAATCCTGTGGAATTTCTCCGGTGATTAAAGCATCTTTTGCCTCAAGGAGATGACTCCAGGTGGGCTCCTTCATGGGTAGTCACCAGAAAGACCAAGCCATAATTCGAAGCTTGAAACATTCAGCTCCAGTCCCATCCTCCAGTGAGAAAAGAGAAACTGGAGATAGAATTAATAATTGATTGTGTCTACACGATGAAGCCTTCATAAGAATCCCTAAACTATCAAGTTCAGAGACCTTCTGAGTTGGTGAGCATTCATGTTCCAAGAAGGTGGGCACCTCAACTCCATGGGCAGAGGACCCTGTACTTGGGACATGCCTGGACCTCACCCTATGTATCTTTTCATCTGGTTGTTCATACCCTTTATCATATCCTTTATGCTAAACTGATAAACACAAGGGTTTCCCTGAATTCTATGAGCTGCCATAGCAAATTATCAAACCCCCAACTGATTTGTAGTCAAGTTGGACAGAAGTATGAGTAACCCGAGGACACATTCCTTAGGATTGGTGTCTGAAGTAGGGACTTAGGATTGGTGTCTGGAGTGAAATCTTGCAGCACTGAGCCCATAGCCTGTGGGGTCTGCACTCACCCCAAATATTTAGCATCACAATTGAATTGTAAAATACCCAGTCAGTATCCAGAGAGTTGGAGAATTGTTTGGTGTGAGAAGAAGCCTTACACAATATAAAACTGGATTTGAACTCTGATTTGCCTCTTTTAGTTGTGTGACCCAGGGCACTTTACTTAAGTGCCCTGTCAGTTTTCTTATCCATGAAATGGAGAGAATAATGGGAAATATGGGAAGAGTCACCACAGTCATGAGGAAACAATGACCCAGGGCCCAGCTCAAGGTAGACATGCAGTGTGTTGACTTTGATTATCATTTACACATTCTATACATTATTCTAACAGATTATGAAGTTTTAAAAAGACCCTGAATAGATCATTATGATTATCTTTCACAGCTCATTCATTAGTTTATAGCTTGCTGGATGTCAGTAGTCAGGAGAATGAATGTGTGGATGCGTGAGAAGCCAGGCTTAAGTCTAGCTAATGTCCACAGCAGGAAAGAGCAATCAGCAAATCCAGTGGTTATGCTGTTATTTAGCAAATCCTCTAGGGTATTTATTTAAACAAAGCCCTTTGCTGTATCACAGACTTTAGAATAAGAATGTGTGATGAGTGTGAAGGGCAGTGGGCACTGGATGTTTGAGGGGCCAGGAGAAAAAGAAGAACCCATGAAGGAAGGGAAGGTTGGTGAGGCAGGAAGAGAATCAGGGAAAGGAGGAACCCAGAAATAAAGACAAATGCACATTTGTAGGAGAAGAGAGCGGTTCACGGAACCCAAATCAAAGCATAGGGCTTCAGGTCAGGTTAAGACACAAAAGTATTGATTGGCATTGGCCACTTGATCGTGGTGATCTTTGCAGGAGTGTTTTCAGAGAAGAGGTGGTAGAAAGCAAGTCATTGCTGGCTGAGGAGTGAATAGGAGATGAACAGGCAACGTGTTTAGCTATTCTTTTAAGAAACTTTACAGGGAAAGGAGAGGCAGAGGGAAGATGGCAATCCTTTGGTTATAGGATTGTATTGGTATGGGAAAATATGTGCATGCTGGGGACTCAAAAGGAGAAGTCAACATCAAAAGGAAAGTTGGCACGTGTTCCCACTTAGCCACCTCGTGGAACAATGTCTAAGTGGGAATCCCCACCCTCAGGGTACAGGTGGATGGACAAGTCTTGAATGGAAGCCGAGTCAGCTCATTCTTCTTGCAGGAGGGAAAAAGGCTGGGAAAGGATGGGGCAGAGGGGGAATTTGAGGAACATACAGGACACCGATGTTGTTTTTTTTATAACAGTCTTAGAATAGGATGGCAGTTCTGAGGGCCCAGCCAACCCGGAAGACCAGGGATTTGCCACACACCCACCAGTTGTCTAGATGTGGAACTCTCTCCAGTTTCTCAGCAGCCCAGGAAGCTAGCATGAGGAGGGCTAGGTAGCTGGAGATTTTCCAGGCTTGCAGGATGACATACCTTGAATCCTTCTGGTCCAGGCGAGCCTTCAGGACCTGGAAATCCTTTTTGGCCAGGAGAACCAGGGGGTCCGGGAAAGCCTTTCTCCCCCTATTAAAACCAAAACAAGACAAGAAACGCACAGAACAGCAACTATCCAACAATATACACATGCCCATAACCACTGTGATCTCTTCTTTGAGACTTCATGATGACATTCTGCATATGTTTCTCTTGGATTCAAAATAATAATAATTAGCACTGAACAGTGAGTGCACAGGTAACTGGGAAACTAACAGTTGTTAATGTGTCTAAGACTTGAATGTGCTTTCCTTTGGTCTTGTAGAAACTTCACTTTTCCCCAAATGGTAGGGCTATGTAGAGTAGAACTTAAGGGAGAAAGAATAAAAATGGAGGGGAAAGTCGGATTAGAAACATCAAGGTCAGTGGAGTATTTGTTGAGGGATGCAGAGAGAGTAAAGGTGGGCACAGGAGTGTGTCTGGGGTGTGTGCATCATTACTATGCAGCTTGAAGGGAATATCACCGTGTAGGTGATGAGTTTTTCCTTGATTACACAGGAATTCGTAACATAATCTGCTGTTTGTATTGAAGATGCAGGAGAGATAGCAAGGGTGGTGCAACCAAAAGTGTGAGCTAATCTCTTTTTAGAAGGAGTCAGAAAAGATATTATGGGACAGTATCTAGTAAAAGTGAGTCAAAGTACTTTTCAAGCCCAATGCTTGACACAGTTCTACCAACAAATAACCTTCCCATAGATGTGGGTCCTGGAATTATGTTCATCCCTCAGTATCCAGGGGAGATTGCTTCCAGGATCTTTCCCTCCATACCGAAACCTGTGACTGCTCAAGTCCCTTATGTAAAATGGTGTCGTATTTGCATATAACCTATGCACATCCTCCTAGACTTTAAATCATCTCTAGATGACTTATAATATCTAATATAATAGTTGTGTTGTGTACCGTATTTTTTATTTGTATTATCTTCTACTTTTGCCTTTTTTTCCCCAAAATATTTTTGAAATGCCGCTGGTTGACTCTGAGGATTCGGAACCCATGGACAAGGAGGGGCCCCTGTGCTCTTTAACAGTAAAGGCCACCAGTTGATTTGGTCAATTGGGTCAATTTAGTTACACAATTGGCAAATTAAAAGAAAAAGATCAAGTCAGCTCTTTTACATTGTGTGTGCGCACACACACTCAATAAGAAGATAAATAAAAGAATTTGCTAGACCCCTCTTGTTACTCAGTTACTTTCACACATCCTAGAATAACATCTTGCAAACAGTAGAGACTCAATAAACACTTCCTGAATACAAGATGAATAGCAGAAAGGGGGTTTCCCCATAGAAATCTGAATTCCACTACATTCATAGCTTCAGGAAAAACCTAAATTAAACAGCATGGAAATTATAAAATAGTTTAAAATAGATATAATGATAATCACTAGCATATAAATTATGTGAATTGTTTTAAAGAGCTTAGATATATTCTTAAAATATGTTTAAGTCATCATCCTTCAATATTGTTAAACAATTAGTGTCTCTGAAGAAAGGGTTTGCAAACAAGAAAAAAACCTTAGTTCTGCCTCTGTCTTAATTATCACAAATTGCAAGTTAATGGAGCGAATTGATGAGATTTCACGGCATTCCTTTTTTCCTTGAATTCTGCAATGGAGCTACTTCCTCCCTCCGCTGAATTTTTGCCTCAACTAGTGTGGGATTGTCCACCAGGGGGCGCTCTTGAATCAATGCTGCAGGACAAAATCTGTGGGTTTTATGTTTATTTTATGTCAAAGTGAATGAATCTAGTTGTTTTCAGCTCTTCTCTCCTGTTTAGTAACGTTGTAAATGGTGTACACATACAGAGACTTCTCATAAACGCTATTTTCCCTAATTTGCTACTTATTCCTTACATTACAGGCCAGGGTCATAATTTAGCTGCAAGTATTTGCAAAAGGTATCTGAAGCTTCCTAGAAGACTTTTTTTTTTTAAGGTCAATGTTTATATACAATTACTTTAAAACTGGATGTGGGAAATGGAACAACAGCAACATACTGCAGATCTTTCTGCTACTGATGAACAAAGAGTGTGAATTACTTCATCATGAAAAGAAGCAGCCTTGGGTTTTCTCTTTCTTTACCTTCTCGCCTTTGGCCCCATCACAGAAGCATTGGCCTTTGTCTTTACATACACAGCCCTAGGAAAAGGGAAAGAGAAAGAGTTTTGTTTAGAAACAGCTTGATTAGTCCCAACGGACAAGGCAAAAGCAAATATATTTCTCTGTTCTTTGAGTATTGGACACTATTGATTAGGAGCCCAGTGACATTGTGACAACACGTCAATAGAAATAGAGCAGAAAAGTGAGAAGATGTTGCATGCAGGAGAAATATCAGATGGGTATACATCATTTTTAGGAATTTCAAGTTGTTTATGGAAAAGACAAAGTGAGCTATATTTTGTCTAGAATAGTGCATATATAGTTGAGCCATGAGAAATTGCCATTGTTGAAGGCAGAAAGTGGTCAAACATTGGCAAATTTTAGGTTCAACATAATGTTTATACAAGTATGTGTGTATGTATGAATATAGAGAATATATTACACCTATATGTATATATACACAAATGTGTATATATACATATAGATGTAATATATTCTATGGGTGATTCTAAGATTTTATTTTCCTAAAATAATGTTCAAGACTGAGAAAAGAGAATCAATACCCATTATGTATCTAGTATGTATCTTTAAAGAGAACACATTAATTCATTAGTGCGAGTATCAAAATGTTCTCTCTTATAAAACAAAAACAGAAGATTCTGCTGTGAGCTAGGTGAGGCTTATCCTATCTAACTAGTCATTTTGACACACAAACAACCCCAGCCCTCACACCTGCACATACACCAACTCTAATGGACATCACTTTTGAAAAACATTTCTCTGCCAGCGGAGGAACAGATAACTAGTTTTAAATAGTGTTTTGTTTTAAAATGTGTTTTGTTACACATGACATATATTTTATGGGTATAATTAAGTCTTTTATTTATTCCTTCTTGAGATTAACAATAACTTAAAATTAGTTTGCTCACCCAGGAAATATTATTGATGGCAGAGAAGCTTAGGAGATATGCTTCCTGGTTAGTAAGGAAAATAAAAAGAAATTGCCTAAAGCAAAAAATCTATTTGTTCAACCCAAACAAACAAACCCACAGAAACAACAATATATTTAATTGACTGTATTTTCTTAGTCTAGGGCAGTAGGCTTTGCTGCCACTCAAGGAAGGGGAGTTTCATAGTAATTTTCAGACACTCATCATTGATCATCATCACATTTATATATGTCATAATTTATATAGATGGAAAGTAACTGATTGAAAAGGAAAGTCTATGGTCTCCTAAAAGGTTGGATACTTGACATTTTTAGAAGAGTAAATCTTTCTAATTTTCCTTTTAAAGGTTTGAGGTCATTGAGTTACACCTTGAGTTAATTGTGTTAATCTTGTATTTCTGGATTTTTAAACTTTAATACTAATTGCATTCATATATTTAAGCATACTGACTAAACCAGCAATTATCCAAGTATGAATTCCTGGACCGCCAGCAACAGCAGCACTGGGAAACTTGTCAGAAATGCAAATTCTAGGTCCCAGCCCCACCCACTGAGTCAGAAACTGGGGGTGAAAGAGTGGGTTTCAGTAGTCTGTTCTAACAAGCCTCCTTGGTGGGTCTGATACCTGCTCAAGGTGGAGAAACACTACCCTAAAGTAACACCTCAAATTCCATTCTCTATAGGATAGAGCCAATTCTCTAAAGATTTTTGAACACTACATCATTTGAATCACTAACTTGCATATGTATATGTTTATATATATATATTTTTTCTTGTGATGCCATTTATTCTGTCATTTTAAGAAATAGGTCAGACTTCTGTGCTCCTCACTTTGGGGATGCTTTTGTTTTGGGGCTCAAACAGAAGTGGCCTAGAGACAAGATTCCTCTAGACTTTTGTCTCTTAAGTGTAAGAGCCCGGTGACACTCAGTCCAGGGAGTGGAGACACCTGTGTGCTGCTCTCAAGCAGCACCCAGAGGGAAAGACTGAGTTCTACATGCAAGGGTACCAGACACTGGGGAAGGAAGCTCCACCTGACCTTGACCTTGTGCTCATGAGTGCATGGAGGTAGCTGCCCACTGTTTTCTTTTCTTTTTTGTTTTTTAATTTTAAAGATTAGGATTTGGGATTAGGTATGCACATGTTCATTATGCAGGTACCCTTGTTGATGAGGTGTACCCCCCTCCCCTGGCAGTTTCCCACTACTGCCAATCCCTTTCTTATAGTATTACAATAGCTGTTCAAGGTTCGCTTATGAGTGAGAACATGTGATACTTGGTTCTTTGTTTCTGTGATAGATCACTGTTTTCAAATGGACAACGAGCATCTCTGATCCTTCTGCATCCCAGATGCCACACAACACCTGGATTCTGAACCTCTCTGGGTCAGAGTGGGGAGGGGCAGATGTAATTCTCTAACCCCTGAGAAGATGTGTGTGTGTGTGTGTGTGTGTGTGTGTGTGTGTGTGTGTGTGTGTGTGTGTAAGGAGTGCATGAGACAGGCTTGATTTTTTTTCTTGGAGTAAGAGTCATGCTCACCAAACACAGGTGGAAAACTGGAAGTTTTCTACCTTAGCTTGAGCAAATAAGTGTCTTCTGATCTTCTCCAAACTATGTCAGGCCCCCTTTCCTACACACTCACATAAACAATGCAGTTAGATGTTTAATGCATATTTTCTCTGATGACCACATGGGAGAAGAAATTGTAAAGTCTTGTTCATATCAGTGTCCTTGGTGTATAATATGTCCTAAACAAGTGATTGTGGATTGATCAGATGAGTCAATGAGTGGATGGATGGCTGATAATTTATTTACACCCAACTTGGACCTGGAATTTTAAGACCATGATTAAGATGTTTTCTATGTGTATAAATTATGAACAACTATGATCAAAATAGCAAAAAGATAAAACTAGAGGCTTTGGCTATTTTAACACATGTTAAAATTAACACAAGGTTAATTATTTGTTAGTTGCTTGGAACTAACTAAAGAAATTCTTTTGGAAAAACTTTAAACCCTCAGAAAAACAGTACAAGGAGGTTGGCACATGACTGTAGTCCCAACTACTCGAGAAGCTCTGGCAGGAAGATGGCTTGAGCTCAGGAGTTCCATGCTGCAATAAGCTATGATCGCATTACTGCACTCCAGCCTGGGTGACAGAGTGAGACTCCATCTCAGAAAAAGGAAGGAAGGAAGGGGAAGAGGGGAAGGAGGAAGGGAGGAAGAGAGAGAGGGAGCGAGGGAGGGAGGAAGCCAGTACAATAAGCACCTATTTCTCCTCTCATTTAGGTTCACCAACTGTTAACATGGTGTCTCTCTCTCTCTCTCTCTCTCTCTCTCTCTCTGTCTCTCTCTCTCTCTTCCTTTACTCCCTCTCTCTCACTCTTTTGACAGCAATTCACAAGTAAACCACACACAATATGACACTTCACCTTGCATACTTCTGTATTTGTCTCCTCCAAACAAGAGTATATTTTTATTTAATTACATTATTTCCAAAACTAACCTTAGGTTACTGGTTTTTAAAGAAGCTCTTCAGCCTTATATAAGATCCTCAATGACCACAGGAAATGAAGCTTAGCTTTTAGTCAATCCTTCATTTTGTACTAGAGATTTTGTTCCAGTCAGTGCTTTCACCTGTAATCAATACATGGGGTCTGACCTCAACGAGTGGCTCTCACAGTTGCAAGAATCCTCAGGACCAGCACAGGTGGCCTGGAGGTCAGGGGTGAGGCTGTGTGTGTGAGCTCCTCATCCCGTGAGTCCCCTCCTGCCTGGGGCCGGCTTTCCCATCGTCATCCACAGCAACATGGTTCCTTCTTTTTTGTCATCAAAACCACAGCTCTTGATTCTTCTCATTATTGCCTCTCAGTTTGGATCTTAAGCCTTTGGAGGTAACGTGTTGGTTTTTGTTTCTATTTGGTTTTCACGCTAAGGTAAGATCCTATTTGATCATTTAGTACCAGCTGGCTAATTGAGAAATTTAAAGAATCAAAAACTAACAAACGGATACATGAACAATATTCTTATTTTTTTTTTTTTTTTGAGTCAGAGTCTCACTCTATTTCCCAGGCTGGAGTGCAGTGGCATGCTCATAGACTCCACACTTCAACCTGCTGGTCTCAGGTGATCCCTCCACCTCAGCCTTCCAAGTAGCTGGAACCACAGGTGCACCTGGCTAATTTTTTTGATTTATTGTAGAGACAAGTTCTCATCAAGCTGCCCAGGCTGGTCTTGAACCCCTGAACTCAGGCAGTCCTCTCGCCTCAGCCTCCCAAAGTGCTGGAATTGTAGACATGAGCTACCGTGCCTGGCCAGACATTGTATTTGAACACAAAATATATAAATGCACACTAATTCTTCAATCTTGTGAGACAGAGGCCAGGTCTTCTCTTCAGAAATAGGTCTACTGTTTAGAAGCTGATGGCTTGCTAAATTGTACCCACAACACACCTTTGACCAATTCCAGCTTTAGTTTCTTTGAAACAAGTCAACTACTTAAAGACACTTACCAAACAATCTGAGTATAGAGTCTTTCCTGATACTAATCCAGAACTTTAACTTTTTAAATGCTATCTCAACCATACCTAATTGAATAGTCATTTTCTATAAACTTATTTTTATCAAATATTCCAACCTCCTTTTTACAGAAACAAACATCATTTATGCATTCATAGTTAATGAGTTTGTTATTTAATTAAACTACGTTGTTACAAAAGTAAGTTCAACAGGCAGGAATTAGAGTGGAAACAACTAACTCTTAGCAATCATAAAGCTTATTGGTGAGCAGGTGAGTGGGCTGGTACTAGGGTGAAACCCGAGACTCTTAGTTGGTCTATTGTATGGAAGGCATGGAGAGTTCTGGTTCTCACCCAGCATAGTGTTACAGGTTGCGAGAGGGTCAACTGTTCTCGCTAGTCACATGTGTCTGTCATATTACCTGTGTGCCTGCGGTCAGCCCAGTTGATAAAGAGTCCTGAATTGTGTTTCTGTTCTCGAGTTAGCCAAATAGCCCGAAAATCGTTCCTGCTTTCATTCTCAAATGGGCAAGGCATGACCTGCCTACATAACTGCACAATCGGGCTGACTAG